GCGGAAAAAAAGAAAAGTTTTGCTGCAGCCGCCGACGGCCAAGATGAACTTTCACTTTGCCCCACTTCTGAAGCCAAAAGGGGGAAGATACACAACAATAAGGAATACAAGCAAGACGTGTGAGCACTTGCCGAAAACAGTGCAGCTTTATCCCTGCAGCCTACGTACGGCCTGCTTTTGTTAAGCTTGTGTTTTGGCCAGGCTCCAACTAGGCTTGTAATATGCCAAATAGATTTGCAGTTTCTGCTTCACATATTTTTTTTCTTAATTTTGCTTTTGTTTCGCTAGTTGTCCGCAAGCAGTTTGAACAGTTGAGTGGACTCAACTGTTGTGTCTTATGCAAACTTGTGCAGCAGGGGACATTTTATTGGTGCTGCTGCAGACGCAAGTTTGGTTCAACGACTTCGGCGCCGTCATTAAAACTTTTTGGCCTGTCATCTCTTATTGCAAGCGCCGGCCAAAGTTTGTCCGTGTCCGGTCCATACACATACGTTTCATACGCATTCACCATTGCTGCCCGCTTCAATGCCTGCCATATTGTTATTTTGGAATTTATGTGGAGGACAACGCAAAATGCAAGTCAAGCTATTCAGAATGCTCTTACGCTTGACTCCGAGCTGCATTGATGACCACATCCAGCTGGGGACCTGGCCACCAGCTGTGCGCCATTGAACGCGTCGCGGCGCAGCCATTGTGGGCCGTCAGGTCGGTCATTGTGTTGGCGAGCATTCTTGGCTTCTGCATTCAAGTGGCAGCAGCGCTCAGCTCGCCTTTCAAAATTTCATAATATTACCAGTTCGACATTAGACAGCTAAACGGGGATGACCGACTTTCAAATATCCGCAAATATAAAAACAAAGCAAATAATGATAAGCAATTTGAAAATCTAATTAAAATTGAAAATCTAATTTCTGATTCGAATGTCAAATTTGACATCTTAAAGTTATGCTTCAAAAATCAAGTCAAGTCAATTGTTCATAATAAATGAACATACATATTTCAATTGTAAAGTCTCAAATATAATCGAAAATGTTTCCATCGTCGCATATATACCCTGTTAACCCACTCTCAATACGTCCAGGGCATTGCCGCGTATATGTCCTTTCAGCATTTTATGCTGCCTGTCAGGCTGCCTGGTGCTCTGTGGGAACTGCGCCCATAAGAAACCCCAACTAATGATGACTGCCTGGCCAGGGACAAAAGGATGGCACTAAGCTTTTCTGAAGGCGTGGCTCCGATCAGAGCTGACTTAAATTTAAAAGCTGATTCAGTTCTGGCTCAATATTCATCTATACGACATGCACGCATTTGTCTGTCAACGCACGTCATGAACATCAATTTTTGGGATTGATAAGATGTTGGATGATATTTTTGAATTACGACCAATGCATGAGTCGACAAGCAAAGGGTGGAGCGGCCAGTGCCTGGGTGGAGGGGCTCTACAAACAGTTCGCCTAAAATATGTCAATCGAAATGTAAATCATTGCGTAATTTGCATTTTGAGCATTTGCTTCAATTGAATGACGCTGCTGACTTTGTTGTTGTTGTTGTTTCTGTTTCTGTTGCTGGCAACACGTGAATTATGGCGGCAATTTTGACAATTGCCAAGCTCCGGGCCACGCCTACCAACCTACAGCACCGCATCCGGTACGTGCGTATGTATGTGTGCATTGTATAACTTGCGCCCTCTTCACGTGCACATAAATCGTACTCGTTGTTATCCAACATAATTGTGTTGACATGTGGATGCTAATTTAAATGGATTTTACTACTATTTCAATGCTTTGCCATTCTGTTAAGTACATACTCGTTCCATGCAAACAAGAAATCTGATTTGCTTTTGCCTTATCGTATATTTAATATCCATTCTAGCTATAATGCCAATTGCAAAAAAAATCAAACTCATGTTTAACAACATAAGACAAAAAGAACTAGTTTGTAAAACAAGTTTAAAGTAAAATAAAGAACTAGCTCATAATACAAAAGGAGCTTAAAGGCAACAGATTTGGTAAGCAATTATCAGCCTAAGCTCTTTCAATTATCCAGATACAATAAATATGCTAAATATATTAATTTTTATGAAACAAAATAAGCTTTTTTAGAATATATTAAAAATAATGCTATTTTGATTTCAAAACTGAATTCAACAGGTCGTAAGCTTGACTCTACTCTCTGTGAAATCAATAAATTTCAGATTAAATAAAATTTAAATTGAACCCAAAACAAACGAGCTCGTTTCAAAACTACACCTCAAAATACACGCTGACAAGAAACCGAAAAAAGAAAGAAACAAAAGTTTAGAGGAGATTTGAAAATTTCTACAAATATAATTTCGACACGTTCGATAAGTGAAGGAATTAGATTTGCAAAAACGAATTTGTTACGAAAATTATGTTATGATTTATTTCATTTGATTTTATTTATGCAACCCCGTGGCACACCTGTGTCTCGGCCCAATATGCATATGGACATACATATGTATGTAAGCTCGTCTATGCAGAGTATGTAAATAGGTTTTTGTGCTTGTGTGTGTGTGTGTGCTTAACACAACTTTTCTCACGTACATGCTGAGCAGATGTGCATACGCCAAAAAGTGTGCAACAGCAAAACGTGATTTCGTTTTAAAATTTCAACGCTTTGCCGCTGTCAAAGGAGAATTTATTTGCGGAACGCATTCATTTGGAAATTATCGAGCAGGAAATTATTGGCTCCTGCAGCGCTCCTGTACCCCTGTTTGTTCTTCTCGCTTTGCTTGATGCAACAAATAAAGGAAAAAATATGTATATGTCGCGGCAAAACGTGAGCGTAAAATTTCCACAATAGCAATTTCTTCGCATTTCCCTCATTGCAAGCTGTAAAAAATGGAAAACTATTAATGGCTGCTCAGGGGGAAAAATACAATGGGTCACAATTTCACACAAATCGGCCAACCTGCTGGAAGGTTAAGGGTCATTGCGGATACTTAAACGAATTGACTGTGAACTCTTGTGGCTTCAACAAATAAAAAGAGACTTGCATATCGATATAACAATTAAAAGCTTTGCAATCAGCAGAATTCATTGGCTTACCAACTTCAAAACTTGTTTATTCTAGCTAGAACAAGTAAGAAAGCTCTAGTCGGGGTGCCCGACTAGGAGATACCTTGATCCCAGTCCTCTGAGTTTTTTAATATTCCGTAATTTGTCTCGAGTATTCAAAAAAAAAAAAAGAAAACAAATAAAAAACGACATTGCGAGACCAGGTTTCGAACCCGGATTGTTTGCGCAACGTGCACCAACTCTACCAACACCGCCACTTCATTATTAAAACAAGTAAGAAAGCTCTAGTCGGGGTGCCCGACTAGGAGATACCCTGATCCCAGTCCTTTGAGTTTTGTAATATTTTCCGTAGTTTGTATCGAGTATTAAGAAAAAAAAAAAAAAAAACAAATAAAAATCGACATTGCGAGACCAGGATTCGAACCCGGATTATTTACGCAACGTGCACAAACTATACCAACACCGCCACTTCATAACTAAAAAAAAAATAAAACAATAAAAAACATTTCATTTCCAGTGGTCTCGAACCCGGACCAAGCTGCATGCGAGCAGCCTCTCTACCAACGCAGCCACTGTCCTTCATACGCGAAGTGTTGCAAATTTAAACATAAGTAGCAGCTAATAATTCAGCACAATTCAATCGCAATTTCAATTCTTGGAATAGAAAAGAATACACGCATTTGAATGTATGTGTGCACACGCATAGGAAAAATGCGTGCGCGTGGCGCTGCTGACATGTGCTTTTGCAAATTGACCAAACGTTTTGTTTAATAACTTCTGTTTTACTTAATGGATTTTAATGAAATTTTCAGCATATGATCTACATATCCTATTGGCTTGGTTGAGATGCAAACGCCTTCACATAATGGCCCTAGTTCCAACTAAACTTAAATTTTAAGAATTTGGGGGAATTTGGAGCCGGTATCCAAAATCTAACAAAAATCAAAATTGCATAAAATATACATAAGACTAAATACAAAATTTGGAGGCTCTAGCTCCTAAGATGTTTGAGATATAATTTATTTATTGCATTTCAATAATGTTTTTATTCGATAACAATTAAATGCGAATAGTTATCGAATATTTGAAACAAACTTGACCTGCGCGTGCTATACACGGACCTACAAAAAAAATTTCAAGTCTCTAGCTCTTATAGATGCTGAGATCCACGCGTTCACACATACGGACAGACGGACAGACGGACGGACAGACAGACGGACAGGGCTCAATCGACTCGGCTTGTCGTCCTGATCAAAAATATATATACTTTATGGGGTCTGCCACGCCTCCTTCTGCCTGTTACATACATTTGCACAAAACCATTATACCCTGATTTCCCATTTTTAATGGGATCAGGGTATAAAAAAATAAAACAATAAAAATTGTCTCGTCGCCGCGAGGATTGAACCCGAGACCAAACGCCAACGAGCGCTGTCTCTACCAACACAGCCACTGCACCTCTTGCAACGTATCTGTATATATATATGTATATAAATTTATATATATATATATATATATATATATATATATATATATATATATATATATATATATATATATATATAGCTTATTGATATATTTCGAATTTTTGTCCTTTAAAGTCCTTCATTGGATTCTGGTTTTCCAGGACTATTAAGAAGTCGTCGCAAAGCCTCAATGCAGATGGCATCAGGTTGATATAACGATCTGTGGCGACTCTCAGCCACTGTCTCGGCACAGCTGCTGCTGTGTCGACTCTAAAGATTTCACTTAGTTCAGCTCTTATCTTGAAATATAACACTGATACTCATGCATTTCTCGCTTAGTAGGCTAAATCTGGAGTGCTCTGTGCTGACGTGAAATACATATATATTGTGAACTCAGCACTGATTAGAAATGCAAAAGCGTACGTAAAACTCAGCTGTTTAATTCACAAAAAATTACTTTATTTATGAAAAGTGAGAGAGCAAACTTTCTCCCTCACTCAAAAGCAAAGATACGATTTAAATTAATTAATCAAATTACAATAAAGCGTTCAAACTGAGAGTATTTCTCTTTTCGATTCATTGCACATTTCTTATCATCATTTGCACGAATTTAAGCGAGGCAGTATGACCGGAAAACAGCAACCAGTTGATACCCTTTCCATGAGTGCTATCATTATATTTTCCCATTAGATTACTTTAAAAGAAAAAAAATTATATATATATATATATATATATTTTTACATATATAGATTGCTCTCAATTTCCTGAACCGTCAACGATACAAACCTTGAGTGACATTTGTCGTACCACCACCCGCCAGTATACAATTCTGCACAGTTTCGACTATAATTATCATTATCTCGATCACGTGCTGTAAACTTTTGGCCCAGATGTGGACTCAAAGAATCGCCAGCATCTCCGGAGTATTCGCCCAGGGTTTGTAAGGCATATAAATTTTGTTCACTGCCAACGGAGAATTGAGTGTATTTTGCATACCTTTTGTTGCCTTTGAAGTCTTCCATGCTGATGAGCAGTTCCTGGTTCCTCTCTTTGGTCAAAAGATGCAACTTATCCAGGCCTATAAAAAACTCACCACTCACATTGCCAAAGCCATTTTTATAGTCATTCCAATAGCGAAAGAAATTAAGGCTTCCATCCTCACGCCTCAGTATGACGAGCCACCCGCCGTTCTGCGTATCCTCATCACAGCTAACTATGAAGGGGTGGACACTATAGTCCGGAATAACAATCTGATAAGCTCCACTACGTCGACTCATTGCCGTTGCTTTAGCACAACTATCAGGAAACTGAGATGACAGCAAGTTGCTTGCCATCAATTTGTCTACTTTCGCTGAAAGCTCTGCAAATAGGTTTCTCTGCTCAAGTCTAAAAAACAAGCCAAATATACACTCTGCTAGATTTCGACAATTAAGATTAATTTAAAACACTCACCTCATCGCTTCGAGCTGTGCTTGGAGCAACAATGCATTAGAGTCATTCATTATAAAATGTATTTCCGATTTATTTTTATATTTAACTGTGAAATTTCCATCTTTGTCATCTTCACACTTAGCTATTGATATGTATACAAATAAAAATATTGTACAAATATTTCTTGACAGCATCGTTGCAGTTAGTGCTGAATGATGATTGTCTCGTAACTGAAAGTTTTGAGTAATTTTTGTCGTTTATAACAAACAAATATACGAGCTTATCAGCACAATTGAATGGTCCAAAAATTCCCCTTGAGTACTTAAGGAACAACCTCTATTGACCGACTAGGAGATACCTTGTATCTGTGCTTATGTAGGCACAATACACCACACATAAACACGTTAACACCTCGCATACATAAATTATTTAGTTACCGTCGGACAAGTAATAAAATTAAGTAAAATTCAGATACAAAACCTTGAAACAATAAAACATTCAATTCAATGCGTTATTGCTTAAGCTATATCAGCTTGACGAAACCAAAAGGGAGTCCGAATCTAAACCTTTAATTCGGATAAACCTTAGCATATAGCGAGAGTTACAATCAGTAGCGATCAAATTTTGATATTCGACGCAGGATCAGCAGTTGACAAAATTTACACACATGCGTTTATACAAATACTTGGTCATAAAAAGTGTAAACTTATAGTAATTTACTGAAAAATGGTATTCCCCGCATGATCTTCATAATTAAAGAGCATCTCCTGCATGAAAAAAAAATATTTGAAAAAAAAAACACATTCAACAGGAGTCACATTCTACTATCAAACTAAAGTACCAGCAGCTCATGTCAAAATTTTAATTGGCATTGCATTCAAATTTTCAATAGGTTGAGAGTATAAAAATATATATAGCGTATAAGCTTTTAGGACAATCTTAGGGACACACTCTTTTTGTTGCCAATCAAAACAAACAGATTAAGATTTTATGATAATGTTTACACTTGTTGATCCATTTTACAGATCGCTAGGTTAACTACCTAAGTAACCCTTTATTTTACAAGGAGACCCAGTTGAACTACCTGTAATTTGTATAAAAGGCCTAAGCCATGCCTTCTTAACGTTAGTAGCTTTCTGAAATCGTAACTAGAAACATATCCCATACAATGGACAGTCCCCTAGCATTTATGCAGTTCGAAGCAAGCTACATTATACTGTTTATAATTGGGATAACCATAATTGAGTATATTTTCAGTGGCGACCCAGATCAGGATAATGGATTGGTAAGCCATACGCCGATTGATTTTACCATTGCCGCTTGTAGCACGACGTACTCGTCGGCTGAACGATATTCTTGGACCAATACGGAGCTCAATTTGAACTATGAACAAGTAGCGCAGACGCCAATTCAGCGCATACGTGGACTGAGATATCTGAGTTTAGAGCAACGAACTAAGCTTATGTCAGGTGTCCGACGCAGGCTTGATCAAGAGTTCTAAACTAATTAATTTAAAAGCCTTATATATTATATATTTTCTTATTGTCCAATAAAATTCATTATAAATGCATATGTTTCGTTGTTTTTCTTCAATTAACAGTATTCTTGCATATATTTTTACAGCTCTTATTTTGTATCCGTTATGAATTTTGAATAATTCAGACTTATTCACGATACCTACGGATATATCGATATTCACGATATTTAACTGAGGCATGTTAAGTTTTACATTTATGTTAAATAACAGCCTGCTGCAGATGAAAATGTGACTTGTACCTGAATACCCGTGTGTGATTATTTTTCAAATTTAAATACACATAATATAAACATTTATATTGTAAATAATAAGTATTTTATTCTCGATGCAGAAAGTTCTACAACGCTTGACATTGAAGAATATACGATTCATGGCCAGCTTCTCACAAGTGATCAACCCAATGACAGGCCAAAACACATGGCAAGAGCGCGGCGATGACTACGATTATCATCAGGAGGTGGCAAATGCTGGCTTTGGTGATATGCTGCACGACTGGGAGCGTAACCAGAAGTATGATGCGGCATTACGCAAAACAATCGCGGATATGCGTCGTGCGGGCAAACAAGTTCATGTGCTGGACATTGGAACTGGGACTGGAATTCTGGCCATGATGGCGTTACGTGCTGGGGCAGATACTGTGACAGCCTGCGAGGCATTCATGCCTATGGCGAACTGTGCAGCACGCATTCTTGCAGCCAATGATGCCGGTAATGTGCGCCTTATTCGGAAACGCTCCACAGACATAATCGTGGGCGTCGATATGCCTCACAAAGCTAATTTACTGGTAGCTGAGCTGCTGGATACCGAACTGATTGGTGAGGGAGCCATTGGAATTTACAATCATGCCCACGACGAACTCTTAACTGAAGATGCGCTATGTATACCTGCGCGGGCTACGTGCTATGCTCAGGTGGCGCAATCACCACTGGCGTCGCAATGGAACAGCCTAAAGATCCTACCCAATCTGGATGGCGACATACTCCTGCGGCCACCGGCACAGCTGCTGCAGTGCAGCGGCGAGGCTGCGCTTCACGATGTGCAGCTTTCCCAACTGCCGCCCAATTTATTTCAAGTGCTCTCAGAGCCCGTGCAAATCTTTCACTTTGACTTTCAGCGCAAGCAACCACTGGAGCGGAAGCGAGAGAATGTCCTACGCATGCAGCTCAGTAGACCTGGCAGCGTTGAATTGGTTTTCTATTGGTGGCAAATTGAGCTGGATGATAACGGTGAGCAGATGCTAAGTTGTGCACCCTATTGGGCCCACCCAGAATTGGAAAAATTGAGTACGAATCGCAAAGACACACAGCGACCGCTGGCCAACATTGTGCCCTGGCGGGATCACTGGATGCAGGCCATCTACTACATACCCAAGCCTCTGCATATGCATGACGTCGGTGAAGAGTTCTGGCTGAGGTGCTCCCATGACGAATATTCGCTCTGGTTTGACGCATACAAGAACAAGCCAGAGAAGCCAGCACGGCGACATAGTTGCAGCTGTGATCTGCACATGACCTACACCCGAAATCGCATTGGCCAGCTTAACCAAAGTATTAGAAACAAGCGGTACCTGGCCTATCTGGAGCAGGCAGTGCAGGCAAAACCTGCACATGTGTTGGTAATGGGCGATGGCTGCCTGCTCGGACTTGCTAGCGCTGCGTTGGGTGCAACCATCGTGCACTGCCTGGAGCCGCATCGCTTCTCGCGCCGACTGCTCGAGTCCGTGGCTAAGCACAATCAATTAAAAAACGTTAAGTTTTTAGATAACCTTAAGCAGTTAGAGCCAAAAGAGCTAAATACTATTACACACATCTTTGCTGAGCCCTATTTCTTGAATGCTATTCTGCCGTGGGATAACTTTTATTTTGGGACATTGCTGCTGCAGCTGCAGCAACTTAACTTACCTGCCACTGTAGAAATATCGCCTTGTGCAGCTCGAATTTTTGCGCTGCCCGTAGAGTTTCTGGACCTGCACAAGATACGAGCGCCCATTGGTAGCTGCGAGGGTTTCGATCTGAGGCTCTTTGACGACATGGTGCAGGTAACTAAGATTTGGAATATTTAACTTTTCTTCTTTAACTTTTCAAACCCTTTCTTTAGCGCTCAGCTGAACAAGCCTTGTCGCTGGTAGAAGCGCAACCGCTCTGGGAATATCCTTGCCGTGCTCTGGCACAGCCGCAGCAACTGCTCAGCGTTAATTTTTCCAACTTTGGTGTGGAACAGAATAACCAGGGCAGCATTAAGCTAGCAGTGTGGGTAGCAGATAATACGATATAGTCACTTATACACTAATCTCTATTATACTCCTTGCAGTAAGGGCAGCTGTAATGGCATTGCGTTGTGGGTGGACTGGCAGCTAGCGCCGAATGATAGTCCCAAGTCAATCGTAAGCACCGGACCCCTGGAGCCCGTGGAACCGGGTCAGTACATCAAGTGGGATATGTTTGTGCGGCAAGGAGTACACTTCATAAACCAAACAAAAACAGAGCAAAATTATTTGGATTGGAGCATAACGTTTAGGCCTTTGCTAGGAGAGCTAAATTTCAATTTTTCTCTACATACAAATCGGGAAAAAAGCTAATAAAAGCAGACATAATTTAAGTACAAGAATTTGGACACGAATTACGGCAATACATATCATAAATAGCACTTAAGACTTGGGTATCTCGTCCTCCATGTGTGTAAGTACAATATTGCGATCCATCTGTTCATTTGGATTCATTATCTTAATACCGTACTCACCGCCCTTGAGACGTGTACGTAAGTCCAGGGCACGAACGTCAGTCATCATCGCATGTTCTATGCATGCTAGATTCACATCGATACGCTGCGCGTGATCTGATATTGAATTGAAGTTAACCTTAGCATCTTGAATCTTCTGTTTAAGCAGACGGCGTATTTCACGCAATTTTTCCGCCTCTTGGCAGAGCATATCGTGTGCTTGATCCATGCAAAGCTCCATGCCACTGCGTTGAGCACGATTGTCCAGGCGCGTTTCGGCCAACTTAAGCATTTCCAACTTGTCGTTCAATGCTTCCTCCAACGTCTTTATTTCGCATACAGCCCTGTCCATTTCTTCCTTCGACTTCAGTTTCTGCCATTGGAGCTCGTTGCGAGCACGCTGAGTCTCGAAGATGCGCTTTCGAATGATGTGCTCTGCACGATCTTGCTGCGCTTGCAGCAAGTTGCGAGCCCTCTCGCGACAAACGAAAAGCGCCTCACGTATGGCAGATGTATCAGCCAGTTCATTCTCTGCCAATAGCTTCATGTTCTTCACATGACTCAGCCAAGCTTCATATGAGCAAGCGCTGCCAGATATAAACGAGAAGTTAATGCAGAGACAAATCGAATTTTTAATTAACTTACTTTTTGGGATTACTCAAGGCATCTAGCTTGTAAGACAAGTTAGGAGAATAACGATCTAGCTCAAGTTGCTTAAGGTCCAAATCCACTGCCTCAACTTTATTTTCAATCTCCATGCCGATCTTGTACCGTACTTCCTCCAGCCGAGTCAGCTTTTCATAAGCTTTAATACATCGATCTGCCAACAATCGCTGATTATTCTCCAATACCATCAGTTCGTTCTTGAGCTCCTTATCCGGTTCATCGTACGTCAGCTCCGAAGGACAACGGCAGTCCCGCGTAGTGAGCACCTCGCTTATGACAGAAATGGGCCCAACCAACGCATCCATCTCACGCTCCGTCAGTGCTTTCTCCTCCTCCAGCATTTTAATCTCGACTTCAATGCGGTCAAACGTCTTGGAAATGATATCGCGCCAGCTATTCAGCTGATCAATGCTATGAAGATATTCCAAAGTTATCAGGGAGATACCTTTGAAATAGCCTTCTTTCAACTCACCGATCCTTTAGGGCCTCATTTGTGTCATAGTTCGCCCAGTCGGTCTCAATGCGGCTCTCATTGCGAAGCATCCGCGATGAATGCCGAAAGGCGAATGCATCTGCCAATCGAGTGTCTGCCACGCTTCGAAGACGTCCCATTCGTGCATTCCAGTCAGCCAGCGAGATGTGCGGCAAAGGTTTCTCCATAGTTACAATCGATTGTAAAGCCATCTTAAAAGCCCACCTTATGTATTCCTTTCAAAATAAATTTTTATATACACTTCAGTTTTTATGGACACAAAATCCGTGTTCACAACAATAACTCACAACGGGAACTAATGGAATTTGTGTATTTTATAGCATTAGAACGTCGTTTATACCATGGTTACTAGATCACCAAGGTATCAAGTTTTCAAACTAGTTGCCAGGCAAGCATAAGTATTAATGTGATATTTATATTTATTGGATACAATATCTTACCTTTTTTAGTAAACAGAAGCTTACGGATCTTAGCCCTCCCATGTATTATTAAGCAATATAACATTCATGTTTGTTTTGTGGTAGTATTTATTGAGTGGTAATTAGTCAAAAATTATATAAAGTACATTAGCTTTAAAGGAGCATTCCACAGACATCCCGGTGTCGATTTTCCAATTGTAATGATCCTAGTCGTGTTAAATAGGCGAGAAATACATTTCGGATTATACCTGACATAGTCGGAGTATTGTCAATGAACACATTTAGGTCTTGGGAATAAGGTCTTGCGTATTTGTACATTGAATGTTAAAATCGGTCTGAGCATTCGGATTAATCACGGCCAGCCCCTTCTGTTTTTCCTTATACTCCTGTCTTATGTCAAGCAACCGTTTGTCGATCATTAGCGCGTTATCTTTCTTTTCCATATCTAGAGTAATTTTTTGGGTATGCTGCGCTAGCAGATTAAAGTTTGACCTACACTCATCCAATTTTTCTTGAAGACAGCGATGAATTTCGAATTGTTTTTCTACCTCTACACAAAGCACGTCATAGGCCGTATCCAGGCACAGTTCTGCATTCGGCCGTTGTGTACGATTCTCCAGGCGCGTCTCGGCCAACTTTAAGCTATTTTTCTTTGCCATCAACGAATTTTCTAGCCCCTCAATATCATGTAAAGCTCTCTGCATGGCATCCTTCAACTTTGTCTGCTGAAAATACAGCTCGTTACGCGCCTGCTGAGTCGCAAATATCCGCCTCCGTATGATGTGCTCTGTGCGCTCCTGTTGGGCTTGCAGTAGTGTAATTGCCCTCTGGCGACAGACGTATAGCGATTCCCGCATTGCAGCTGCATCGGTCATTTCGTTCTCGGCCATTCGCTTAATGCTTTTGGTATGATCCAACCAGTTCTCGTATGAGTAAAAACTGTAAAGAGCAAGGAATTAGACTATAATTATCTACATTCCAAACACTCACTTTTTTGGAGTGCGCGTTGCCTCCGGTTTGTGGGATATCACAATTGACTTCGAATCTAGCTCGCGTTGTGTCCTATCTACTCGGAGTGCCTCCAGCTTGTCTTCAAGCTCCATTTTTATCTTGATGCGCACTTCCGAAAGAACACTCAGCTTTTCCCATGCCTTCTTACAACACTTTGCCAACAATTGCTGATTATTTTCCAATATCATCAGCTCGGTTTTAATCTCACTATCTGCCTCATCGTACGTCATCTCGGAACGCAAGCGGCCATCTCGACTGATGAACACGTCGTTAATGACACCGATAGGACCAGCAAACGAATCCAATTCACGTTCGGTCAAATCCTTTTCCACCTGTAATGAATGGATTTCGGCATCGAGGCGGTCGGCCGCCTTCCTAATGATTTCAAGCCAGTTATCGAGTTCACCAATTCTTAAAGTATAAAGAAAATTTACAATCTCGTCAAATTGTCAACATCTAGCGCAGCTTACCGTTCAGTCATTGCAATGTTCGAGTCATGGGTCGCCCAATTCTGCTCGATGAGCGTCTCATTCTGCAACGTGCGAGATACGCCGCGTATAGCATCGGTATCAGCTAGTCGTGCATTAGCCACTTTGCTAAGACAGCCGAATCGGTACTTCCAGTCAGCAAACGAGATATGCGGAATGGGCTTGGACATGGTAGCCAACGAATGAAAAGCCATCTTTGCGTATGTAATCTATATACTTTTTCTTAATATATGTATATATTCGAATAATCTGCACATGTAATGTATATTTTGGTTTATATATATACATATATATTTATATATATATATATATATAAATTGTGTCTTCCCGTGTAGTTTGTGTGTGATAGTGTCCCTTCTTGTATAAAATGTTTTGTGTTTTATGCCCTCTCGTATATATTTTTTCGTTTTTTCTTAGTGTTCTCTACAATGTCCGCGACGGGAATGAATGTTTTACATTTTTAAATGGCGCCCTTTACAAATTTATACATTTGTTTATGCACTGGCTACTAGATTGGTAAGTTTTAGCCTCTCAACCATTGTTAATGGCAACGTTACTTTATATATAAAACTGTTGCTAGGCTTTGTATAATGCTATATTTTAAATACTATATACTGAAAGGGATCTGAAAAGGGCTCAAATGCATACCCGAAAACAACAACACCGCATAGATATGATCCGTTATTTTATTAATATGTATAATAAATGAAAAATACTGGGATAAGTCTCTCAGTTCTTTGCTGTAATATTCTCTGTGTGTGTTAAAGTCTATCTGGGCACAGGGATTGTTTTCCGTAATGACAGAATTCTTCTCCTTAAAGACCTTAAGCATTTCAAGTGCTTTTATCTCACAATTCAGAGTGCGCTGCTTCTTAAGGAGAACGTCCTCAATTTTTTAGCATAATTCGATAACAGATTCAAACTAACTCTTGACTCGTTCAGCTTGTTCACTAGGCAACGGTGGATCTCCTTCCACTTGTCAACCTCCAAGCAGAGCACTTCGCACAAGCATAGCTCTGTGGGAATGCGCTTGGTACGAGTTTCGGCCAACTTCAGGGCTTTTATCGAGCCACCCAACGCCTTCTCCAGTTCTTGTATCTCGCACATTGATGAATCAATCATTTTAGTACGCTGCCAATCCAGCTCGTTGTACGCCTGTCGGACTTGAAAAATACGATTACGTATATAAAACTCTACACTGCGCCTGACTTTCCAATATGCTGGTAAGAAAAGCGATTCCCGTATGACCAGTGTTTCTTCTATTTCGTTATCTTAAATTTGCTTTACATTTTTGGAATACTCCAGCCAATCATCGTAGGAAAGGCAGCTGTAAGTCACACAATTAGGAATCAAATGGGATCGAACGGAAGGTAAACTTACTCTCTGGGTTGACGCAGGGGATCCACAGTGAATGATATAATATTTGAGCGACGAGTAAGAGACCATTGTTCTGTGTCAATATCAATTGCGTCCATTTTCTTTTTCTCAACTCATGATTTACCAAGGAACGCACCAGCTCGAGACGCAACAACTTCTGCCATGCGTTTTGGATGAGCTTTACCAGTTGTTACCGATTGTTCTCCAATACAAGCAATTCGTTTCTTAGCTCCGAGCGTGGAAGGTTCGCTCTGTTTCGCTGCGATTATCACGCATGCATAAAGACTCTAACTACATCTGTAGAAGCCAGCTGCCACTCCAAGTCCGCCTCAGCTGCATTCGGGACGAAACGCTCTGCAACGGCATGAGCGCGTCGGGCATTTGCCTCAACTCGGTGCTGCATCGGCTTCTTCGTGGTTGATATAAAATGTAAAGCCATTTTTATAAGTTTTATGTTTTTCTTTGTATGTGTATAATAAATTTATTTAAAGTGTTAAGGTTTTATGTGTTCAATGTTCCTATTGCTTGGCAGTGTAGTGTGGATTCATAAGATGGCCTACTACATTTTTAAATTTTTACGTTGTAATCTTGAATTCTTACCTTGAGCTAACACCATCACGATTTGCTTGTTTTGTATAATTTATAAAAAAAATATATTCAAGGCACATCAAATAATATTAATTATGAACAAAAGTAATATAAATATCGATTCTTTCTGCGATATCAGTTAACATATGTTTGTTATCGATATATGTTACATCGTCTGCGCGATAGCTATTTGAAGTTATTTGCCATCACCAGCAACTGCTGCTGTTTACAGTTTTTTAGGCGAAAAATCGCTTAAAAAGGACATTTAAAGCTATAGAGGAGTGTGCTTAGGACACGCTTTGTGCTATTGAGGGTCAACGCCATTAACAACAGATACAAACTGCGCGGTGTGAGCTACAGGGACACGCTGGTGTGTTACGCTCGAAGCTGCACTTGAAGGTGAAGGACAACAAAGGAGGCAAGGACAGGACGCCACACACAATGGCCACGTGCAATCGCAATCTGAATGATAGCTGTGACAATGCAACATCTACAACATGCCATACCAAATGCGATCCCCCTACCCTCAGCCTCAATGTCCTGCCCGACGAAATTCTCGAGTTCATCTTCACCTATTTGCCACCCTATGGCGATCTTGAGCATTGTAGCCTCGTCTGCAAGCGCTGGCAACTGATTGTGAAAAGTATGTGAAAGTATTAACATAACGATCAACAATCATTATTATATTTACATCTTACAGATCTGGTACGGCGTTCGCAGCTAAATTTAGAAAAAGGCTTGGCAGACTTTCGACTTCGATGGGAGATCTACTCACAACAAACAGCTGCTTCCTTGGAGGCAAACAGTCCTCGTTTGTCAACGGGCACGCCTATGCCCATTATAGCAGGACGCTTTGCTCACTCAACTGTGCGACTGGGCAACTCGATGTTTGTGTTTGGCGGCGGCTCGTCGTCGGACACGACCTTCAATGATCTTTGGCGATTCGACTTAACGCACATGCGCTGGTCGCGTCCCCTGGCCACGGGCACATATCCCTCGCCCAAGGGAAGCGCCTCCATGGTGGCCTGGCGTGACAAACTGGTGCTGTTTGGCGGCTGGCGTTATCCTTCATTACACCCACCCTATCAACCATGGTGCCTGTTCGATGAGCTTCACTACTACGATCTTGTTAAGGATCGTTGGCTTGCCCGGAATTCGCTGCCCTGCCCCCCGCCTATGGCCGGGCACTCGGCTAGTGTACATGGCAATTGCATGGTTGTGTTTGGCGGCTATCAGATAAAGGATGATATAAATGTGAACTCCAATGATACCTGGGTGCTGGATCTGGTTGAGCAGCGCTGGTGGCAGCCCATATTTGTTGGAAACACGCGGCCCTCGCCGCGTTACGGTCAAATACAGGTGGAGCTGGACAAGAATCATCTGCTTATCGTTGGCGGCTGCGGTGGCGCCAATCGAGTTTACACGGATGCCTGGCTTCTGGACATGTCGCGTGATGCATGGAGCTGGAAGCAGCTGAACGTACGCAACAAACACTTTGGCGCTGTCCACATGTGGTGTAATCCCGGGTGCAGAGTCAATAATTTTCTGGTTGTAGTGGGCCCTTCGCCCAAAATGCCTTTGGATTTTCAAATCATGAAGCAGAGTCGCGTGCCCGTTGTTGGTGGCAGTGCGTTGCGTTTCGGTGGACTGGGTCAAGCGCCAGCGCCGCCTCCGCCACTCTACCAACAACAACAGCTGCAGCAGCACCAGCATCCTGGTCAGCGTGCTCCGCTACCAGAGCGTAGACCCGGAGCTCTGTTGCCGGAGCAACAACATCGTGGCAATGGACGCTTTGGTGCTGCCGCCTTGCCACCGCAGGAACAGTACCTGGCGAACAGGCGGGCTATATTAGACCAGAATATGCAGCAGGCGCAACAATTTATGCACAACAACAATGTCAACAATAACAACAACAATAACTATCAGCCGCGATCCGGTCGTCTAAGCGACTTGCATTCACCGCCTGCAGCGGCAGCTGCCGCAGCACCAGCGGCTTCTCCTTCTGCAGCGGATGGAGACGCGGATGCAGCACAGAGATTGCAACGTAACCTGGCCCTACGCTGCCGCGACAACGAGCCACTGCTGCCCAAACGCTTTGACGAGCACTACGAGGTATGTCGGACATATATCATTGATCTCATTCTCCTCATAAATTACCTTCTCTTAGGACCCCTTTCGGATGGCCGCCTTTAATGTGCCAGGTCGTTCGCGCAGCGCTTCGCGGGATCATAGCGAGCGCATACGTCGCATGGAAGAGAAAATGAATGCCATACGGAATTCGCGGCGCAACGCCCCCGCCCATGTAGAGCCACAGAAGTTGCGCGCGCCCTCTCCCAAGCGTGTCCGTTGCAATGTCCAGTCGCTGTTTGTGTGCGACATCTCCAGCCTGTTGCAGCGTGATGCGAACAATGAGCCAGGCCTGGATTGGGTCGAATACAAGAATTTTGGTGTGTTGAGCGGAGCGCCCGATCGATTAATATTGTCCAGCCTAATAGCAGGCAACGGAGAGCTGATCCTATTTGGAGGCGTTCACAAGGAGACGTTGACGGACATCACGCACCATGTGTCCAATTCCATACACTTTCTGAGTGTACCACGTGATATTATCTAAGCGCTGGCACGAGCCATACCCCCACACACATGCACTAACACACAAACACCCACACATTGCACAGAGCATATTTAGCTATATATGTATGATCCTAAGCTATTGCTATCCTTGAAATCTGCGTACAACTTTTGACGTAACTGCATCTTTCATATCCTTTAAATTAGTTTCCTGCGTTTAGACATTAAATTTGAGTTAACATGTAATATATTATAATTAATGCGCATGATTAAACAGGATGAACCTCGTATATATGTATGTATGTATATAGAGTCGAGTTCTGTTCACATCTATTTGTGGCATGTGTTTCGGGGCAGCAAGCGTAACGAGTACGGCAGAGCACACACGCGCTCACCAGTCGAGGGACCGGCCCCCATCCACTGTCGATTTCATATACCAGTTTGTACAGCCAATTGCCAAAGTTAAAAGCCATGGCAAAGCATCTGCCTTCGGCAGGTAGAAATATAACGAATGGTGACGCGTGTAGTCAAGCCGAATTATGAATGCTGTTACAACTTATTTTGACTAATAGATAAATATGTAATAAAACAAAAAAATACGAATTTTATATATATAGCACATAGTTAATTACAACTTAATTAATTTGTAATTTATGTGAATATTTCAAATATGCCTCAGCTATATTTCTCAGAGCATAATTAAATGAGTTACAAAATTTATATTTTGCTGCTAATATTAATTGATGTGTCTGTTACAGCATTAGCCATCATTTTGATATACCTTACCTAGTGCAGTGTGCGTTTATATGAGTTACAGAAATAACTTTGTCTGCCGAAGAGGCTATAAAGGGTTCAAGGCTGCGCCTCGGCAGTGCCAATCATTGGCAACACAAAATGAAGCCGCTTTAATTTGTAATCTTAACTGGATGCTGGATGAACTCACACATACTCAATATTCTTTAAAAACATTACAATAGAGAGAGAAAGAGAGGAAAGCGAACGAGCCCCCAGCAATGTTTAATATAGCGAGAGAGCGGCTCGAGAGTGAGTTCAATTTCCAGAGAGAGATACAGTTCTTCTTGCCAATTGATCAGTTACAGGGGGCGCTTTGTGACAAACAGTTCGCTTGTCCAGCAGTGGAAGAGAGAGACTCGAATAACAGCACGACGGCAGTCAAGCAGCAGAAGCCAAATGCCAAAACGAACTCAAGAGCAAGACTAAGAACACGAGCGGGTAAAGAGCGCCCCTTTCCAGAGAGCGTCAAATAATAGAGTTGCTTTTGCGTGTGCCAAATGATCAGTTGAAGGTGGCGCTTTGCGCTGAACGGTTCGTGTGTCCATCAATGCTCTCACAGCTCAGCTTGCAGTAGCAGCTGGCAAAGCGGTCAAGTTCAGCTCCTTTTCAGAACAAATTATTTAACTTTTAGCTCGTGCGAGCTTCAATCAAAATTGCACTAAATTTGCGTTTAATGTCAATTTTTTTTTGCATAACAAACGAAAATAAAAGTGTTCAACGTGCCGAATTAAATTATAAATACTCAGGAACTTGTCACAGTGCCAAATATTATGCGCAGATAAAAGGTGTGCTTTAGCGTTCACCGAAAATTATCAACAAAATAAATATATATAACTCAGAGGCCACGAAAAAAGCTACTAAAATATAAATTATAATAAGCACATGAACAACAACGTCAACAACAACAACAATAAAAGATTCTTATGTAAAGTGCTCAGCAGCGAATTACGAATCACGTATCACGATCGTTAATCGATTCCCAGAGAGATTGAAATCAAAACAATTTACGCAGCAGCTTTCAAACATCGGTCAAATATTTATACAGGAATAATCAAAGGTTAATGTGCAGATTAAGCTAATAGAATTTCCTCATGAAACATGAGTAACTCTGCCAGACGTAAAGCCATGCTGTCTAAATATTATTGAGATATCCTACACACGCAAGTCTTATCAGTTCTATGCATTTTGTGGATATATAATCCAATTGATATACATGTGTATTATGTGTATATATAATCGAATGCAATATTGTATTTCAATTATTATAATAATATTTTGTAAAGCGCTCTGCATTGGCATCTATGTCTGGCTATAACCTCCATGTAAACACTTTAAACCGGTTATTTATTATCCATGCGCGAAATATAAATAATGAGAATCACACACTATACACAGAGACACGGGTAATGGGCGCGACATGCCGGCTTTATATTGATAGAACGCAAATATAGTAGTGTATACATACATATATCTGTATATATAAAGTTTTTGTTATTGATAAACAAAGTATATAGTATATATGCATGCTCTCGACTGTCCAATCGAGACAATAGGAATTTCGCCAGGGCTTACGTCAACTTTTAGTGGCAATCAAAGTTGATTTATTTCTAAGAGGCATTTCTTATCACAAAAAGAGATTGACTTTGTATTTATTTATATTCAGAATAGAAACTGGTAACGAAGCGTATTGTAAGATGAACCTAGACCTAATAGAAATCCTCTGCCTGTTTAAAAGATCTAGAGATAATACTGCAAATTTATCATGGAGCGATAAAGGCAGATATCTTATCATTTATATTCAATACGTGAACATATCAAAAGATTCAAAGATAGCATGAAAAATTTGCCGAAATGTTTTAGGTAGCTTTATCAAAAGATCTTTATATAGCATGGACATACAAGTCTAGTGATAAAGAGAGAAAGCTATGGTATGAACTATTTTAGTATACCTGGCGAGTATAAGGCAAACATATAGTAATATTTTAAAGACAAATATTGTATGAATAATATATAATAATCAATAGATTTTAGATGTGGATATATATTCTATCAAATGAGGTTGTAAAATAACTTATGAATTGGTAATAATAATCAAAGACTTTCCAAATAGATATATATATAGGGTATTTTATAAATGAATTCAAATTTCTTTTCATACACGTGTCGGCTTGTCCTAATTTGCGATGCAAACTAGGCGAGAGGCAGAGCTCAAAATCGATAGTGATTGATGCTGTGCTGGGAGAGAATAGAACCGGTTTATAGGTTTAACTGAAACACAATGATCGAAATATATATATATATATACTCTCTGTTAGCAGATGAGCGCCGCCGCAGCTTTGGAACTGGCCGTGGCCCATCGCAAGGAGCAGGCGAACGTGGCCAACCTGCTGGGCAGGCGGTATGCAGAGCTTCTGCACGCAGAGAAGCACACGGACTGTGTGTTCCATGTGTGCGAGCAGCAGCTGAAGGGACACAAGCTGATTCTAAGTGCAGCCAGCCCGGTCTTTGAGGCCATGTTCTATGGACCGCTGCAGGAGCTGGAGCCGGAGATCGAGATACATGACATCAGTGCGCCGATCTTTAAAGTCCTACTGGAGTACATCTACACCGGCACCGTGGACTATGAGTGCATGCAGCTGGAGGCCGCCATTGAGTTGTACTATGCCGCCGAGAAGTATCTGCTGGATCAGCTTATAACGGATGCTCTACTAGCTATAACGCGCAAGCTGCGCTTCTCCAATGTCCTGCCAGCACTAGAGCTGAGCGTGTGCATGGGACTGGACAGTTTGCTGGACGTCTGCATGTCGTTCTTCATGCGTTGTTGTGTGAACAACGATCAGTACATGAGCTATCTGAAAGAGCACTATGTGCACGTCTCCAAGGAGTGTGTCAAGAGCATCATCGCTGCCTGCAAGGAGCCCCACAAGTTGCTGCTCTGGTATGTCTACGAGTGGACACAGCAGGAGTGCGATGATGCGGGGCTCGGGGATGCCTCCACCTGGCAGCAGGTGCCGGGGTCAGCAGATCTAGCAGATTGTGCTACACCCCTACCACCGGCCACGCTCATCGAGCGCTGCTACTATAAGGCCTGCCGTCCGTTCACCATCGATGCTGAGTCGCATGTCTGGCGGCTGGGATTGAAGTGCTCGAGATTCATCTCGGTGCTGGGTCTGGTGCTCAACAGCCGACTTGCACCCAGTCTCACCTGCTACATGGGCCATGTGCCGCAAGAGTATCGGGAATCCTTGCGCATCGATCTGTTTCCCGATGGCGGCGATCAGCCTGTGTGGACGCACATCATCCAAAATCAAACAACAAAATACAATTGTGATTTGCATCTGAGCTGGAGCCGCGACGAGGCCTGCGTCCTGACACCCGAGGTCCATTACGTTCTCCAGCTCAGCTGGGAGAGCAGTGCGTACGGCGCCGAGTATCCTTGCAGCCTGCAATCCTGCCTGGTCGATGGCATTCGCTTCATCGACGGCGACAGCTTCAGCGGTTGCTTGCTGAAGGGACTGCGCTGTGTGAACCTAGTTTAATTACATTCGTTTTAGATAATTTAATTCGTAATCATTGTATTTATTGCTTTTAAGTTAATGTACGAACGTGAGTTCAATAAACTGTGAAAAACAAAAGATATTCGTTTCAAAAAAAAACTAGAAGCCGGTTTCTCGGCTGCTGGCTGATGATTTAACAACACGCGCGCAATCTTCCAAAAATATAACAATATAAAATGTTACAGGAAATTACAAAGCTGCACACATTGCTGCCATCTGTTTTCGCAATTTAAGTGAATTTACATTGTATTTAAATTTAACATTTAAAATTTGCCAGTCACATAATTCATTGCGAATGGCGCCACTTCGATTTTCAGGTGGTTGTGTTCGAGTATAATATTGAGTCTTTGCAATTAATTAAAAATACAAGGTTGCAAAATAATTTAACTGAAACAATGTAAATAAATACACTATTAAGTTTAACATCTAGTTCATTCAATGAAACTAGCGAATAAGTTACCGATATTTGAAAAGCCACCAGTTGCCATACTTTTTTGTTTATTGGGTAACAAGGCATATCAAATATCCCTATTCACACAAACTGAAAATCTATCGATTATTTCATTGCTCATCACTAGCATTGCACCGCTTATAGTTGAGCATAAACGTAAACAAAATGACAATTTTGTATAAAGTAGAAAGTCGACGTGAATTTGGCAATGCCAAAGAAAGTAGCGTCTTCCCACACAAGGTGGTGCTGTGCGCCGTCTCCGCACGTAACATAATTGCGTTTAGCGCCCTACAGAGCCTCTCCAGTCACGTCTATGTATGTGACATCGTGACGCCCTGGCAGTACTACAAAGTCTGCACTTCAAAGTCCCTAATCAATGTGCTGGAGTGGAATGCAAACGGAGAGCAGCTTTTGCTGGGCTACATAGGCGGTCGTGTGGAGATCTGGCAGCCCAAGGAGCAGGCCCTGAACGTCTGGCAGCTACAGTTTCACGCCAACATACCCAGCGAAGACATTATTCGGGCGAAGTTCTTTCACAATGGCAAAGGCGTTATCTTTAATACTCAGAAAAAGGATCACACCTATTATGCGGAGAAATTTGAGCGCCTTGAACAACGACCCACACTAACTGGCTTTGGCGGCGTTGCCACCGAAGGCTGCATACTGCTCACATCCTCCGGCCTGCTGGCTACCTTTTCGCTGCCCCAGCTCCAAAAGCTGACCATCAGCAACAACAACAGCGGCCAGGTGAGCGAACCACTGCCGCTTAGCAATGCCAGCAGCGAACAAATCGAGCTTTTGCCCATAACTCACAGTATTGGTAACTCGCGCAGCTACATTGAACACTGCAGCATTGTGGCCAGCCCCAGCGGAGCCCTAAATTTTGCGTACAACACAGGCTGGCAGCAGCAGCAACAGCAACAGTTGATCTACTGCTATAAGGTAAGCAGCGACATTAATATTCCACTATTATTATTATACTATTTATTCAATGTCATATGTTCAGGTCTCGCTGCAGTTCGAGGGCGAACGCATTGCCATCAAATCCGAATCGCTGGCCAGCATTTTTTTGAATACTTTGCCCTCGCCCACGTTGGAAAGCAAGCGAATTGCGCAGCTGCTGTGGACGCGGGCGGGCAATGAGGATGTCATCTATGTGGTCTTCAATATGGGCGACAGCGCCAGCCTGCTGGAGCAATGGACATTGACGAGACGGCATCAGAATGTGCACGCCTTGCTACAGCAGTCATCAACTGTGGCTGCCGCCAGCAGTAAGCCCGCGGACTATGTGCCCAGCGAGAGCTGGGAACAGGTGGCTAAGCTGCAGTTGAACGCCAGAATCTCGCAGCTGTGCAGCAGTCGGCTAATCGCTGCGGATTGCGAGCAACTATATGCCATATTGCAGGATAATAGCGTGCAGGTCCTTGAGCCGGGCACATTAAAGCAGCTGAATCACACGCAATTCGAACACGATGCTGAAACGAAATTCGTTTGTGGCGATTTGACGCCCACTAGCCAAATGCTCATCATCTTCGACAGCCACGCCCAGCTGCATGCCATGCAAACGCCCATGCTGAAGCAAAATACAAACACCATGCAGCTGCTCCTGCTGCTGCTCGAGTATTGCATTGTGACGGGCGTGGACGCAAGCGATGTGCTGCTCCTCAATCTAGGCAATCTGGAGGCGCTTGTGGACAAGCTGACGGACAACTTTACGCGTCAGCCATCCTATGTGCGTCAGTTCTACTATGCGAATTTCTTGGCCCTGAAGAGCAATCTGTGCCGGGCACAGCAGCAGGAATTCGATAATCTCATCATTTTGCACGCCATCTCGAGCACGTTTAAGAGTCTCCTGCGTCCGTCGGATTTAGGTTGTCAGGACAAGGGGCCGGCGGACAATTTGGCCATGAAATTGGCCGAATCTGTGCCGGACGTCGACACGGTGTTGCTTAATCTAGATCCCAAAGATTTTACCGTCGAGCCCATGATGCTGCAAAGCCTGCAGCAGCTCATCCAATGGGTCACGGATCTGGCTCTCAACATGCTTAATCGCCTGCCCGAGGAGGTGATGAAGAGTAAGCTCTCGGGCAAGCGGGCTAGCTACGATATCAGTCGCGACATTGTCGCCATTGGCAGTTTGCGCGAGCTGCTCGTCATGATCCGTATTTGGGGGCTACTAAATCCGCAGTGTCTGCCTGTTTATACCAAAACGATGGACAACATCGATGTGCTGGCCATATTGTTTAGGCTGCTCACGCGACTGGCTCAGAATCCAGCGGAGCCGGATGAACTACTGCTGGACGAATGCAGTCTGCTGTCCAAGCAGCTGCTCATACCACAGCCATCCAAATATAATCCCACAACGTTGCTTAGTGCCCAGGGTTATGCGGCTGTGAAATCTGGACAATTAACGTTCACCTCACTGGTGGAGCCAGTCGGACTGCAGGACATCGAAATGGAGCAGGTCGTCTTCGCCAATTTCATCAAGGATGGTGTCAGCAATTTGCAGTTGGGTGCCAATCCCAGCACCATACGAAGATGCGCCCGCTGTGGATTTGTCAACAGCGCCAACAAAGTGGCCAAGACGTCTGCGTTAAAAGCGTGGTGCAACAAATGGTTGCATTGCCACTGCGGTGGTTTTTGGAAGCAAATCAATTAACATTATAATCATAATATTCGAATATAATTATTATTAGCTGTTAAAAGTAATTGAAAATAAAAAAAAAAAACAAAAAAGAAACATCGCTTTTATTTGCAAATAAATTTGAAATGTCTAATTGCGCGAAACATTCGCTGTTAAAAAATTACAATCGATAGTTGTGCAGACAATAACTGGTCGTGTAATCGATAGTCACACAGAATCACACACACACTTGAGTACAATCGATTGCTTGGCATCTTAGTTTCTTATTAGACTACTGATAAATACAAACAAGAATTGGCTTGCAAATAAAGTTTCTAATTCAATTAAGATAATTGCTACTAAAAATGAACATAAATCTGTCCAATTTCAACATGAAGAGCCTGGTTAAGGAGGCGGGCAGCACAATATCACGCGTGGTGCAGGTAAATGCTTAGGCAACCACTTCTAGTTGGAGGCCTGCGCCTGGGCTCTGGCCTCGGCCTGTGGGTGTGGGTGGCGTTTGTAGGGAAAGGAATGGGGTGGGAGCCTTGCGCACGCGATTGACTTTTTGCGTTTACCCTTGCCCTTTATGCAGCTAACCGAGGAGAAATTGGGCACCACCGAGCGCACCGAATACGACATACACTTTCAAAATCTGGCCGAACGTGCCGATGTGACCAAGTCATGGACTGAGAAAATAGTACGCGACGCCGAATCGGTGCTAATACCCAATCCACAGAATCGTGTTGAGGATTACATATTCGAAAAGATTGAGAAATCGAAACCGAAACGCTTAAGTAACCTGGAGCACCTGGCGCTGGATATGATCGAGGCCGGCGGTGACTTTGGCCAGGACATGCCCTACGGCCAGGCGCTCATCAAAGTGGGTCAGGCGGAGCAGAAGTTGGGACAGTGCGAACACGACTTTATAGCCACCTCGGGCATTTGCTTCACGCAACCGTTACGCAAATTCCTCGAAGGCGAAATGAAGACCATTAGCAAGGAGCGCGGCCTACTAGAGACCAAGCGGTAAGCCAGCTATTGTCCTTCTATTGCAAACATATATAGATGTCATTTCTTTTCTGCAGCTTGGACTTGGATGCGTGCAAGAACCGGGTGAAGAAGGCGCGCAGCATGCTGGGCCAGCAGTCGGTGAGTAAGCTCCATTGCGACTTGGCTAGCGAAATTGTCGCATTAAGTTGATTAATGGATTTTTGCCTCTGCTTTTACCTTTGTGCTGCTTTTACTCTATGTGGAATGTGTTATTTGATTTATAGAAAGATGGCATTTCGCCAGAAGCCGCCTTGGAACAGGTACCGCCCAAAGAGGCGCCTCCTTAACGCTCACTTTTTATCTCTTGAATTGTTTGGAGAAATTTATTTAATATATATTCTAACACTTGATCCCTTTCTTGTGCAGGCGGAGCGCGATCTGCGCGTGGCTCAGGCGGAGTTTGACAGGCAATCGGAGATCACAAAACTGTTGCTGGACGGGATTAGCACTTCGCAAGCTTCGCATTTGCGTCATCTGCACGCCTTCATACAGACGCAGGTGCGCTATTATAAGCAATGCGGCGACGTAATGGATCAGCTGCAACGCGAGTTGGCCAAGTAAGTGGAGAGTCGCCAAACAGCTGTTGCAGCTGCTTACAAATTCGTAATTATATGTGTTAGCTATTTATTTGCATAACTGTGTACCTGAGTACCTGAGTACCTGTGTACTTGTGTAGGCGGCACTTAAACAAAACCAAATATCTCTTGCACTTTGACATTTATTCGTGTGTGTGTGTGAGTGTGTGTGTGTGGTGTTTGCCTTGTTGTTGACCTTTCGGTATTTTTGTTGTTGTTTTGTGGTCTTACAGAATGCAGCCAGCGAAGCCTCGCCTGCGCATCAATAGCGAAGATGTCGACGGGCCTCCCAGCATAGCTTCGGCGCATTCCTGTGATTCAGACACCAGTTCCATTGCACTAGCCAAGGCAATAGATAGCGATTTCGATTATGATAACGGGCAGGATATTGATATTGAGTCGGGCTTTAAGAGCATTGACATTGGTCCGGTCAAGGCGCTCACCCATCTGCTGGAAGACTTTGAGATAGAGTTCGATACGAGCGCCATAAGCACAGTTTAATTTAAGCAAGCAATCTGTAAAGGCGAAAGTCCCAAAGAATCAAAATTGAAAACGGGTTAACACATATGCGTATACGCATATATTAGGCTAAGCTTTTGTATTGGTTGTTATATTGAAACTAATAGTCGTCCATTTGTAGAGTTGTTTTGCTTCCTTGTTGCTGCTGTTGCTGATGCTGTTACTGATAAGCGACTCCAATTGTAGCTCTACCTATCCAAAATTACAATCAAATCAATCAATCATTCACACTCAAGCCATTTAAACTCTCCTCTCTGCCTCTGCGTCTTCCATCAGCTTGGGAGGCCCAACGCCCTATACACCGATCGACCTGCTGGAGGCCGCCAAGTCCAGTGCCGCCGGCGGCATGGGCGGTGGAGCACGCAATCCTGGCAATAACAGCCAACAAAAAGCCAATCAGTCCATGCAATTGAACGTGGCCACGGATCAAATGCAGCGTGCCCGTGTCCTGTGTTCCTACGATGCCAAGGATCACACCGAATTGAATCTGAGCGCCAACGAGGTGAGAAGCCCAACGCTAATACACCATATTTTGTCCAGCCTTAATTAATATGTTCTCTCCACTTTTGCAGGTCATCTTTGTTACCGAATGCTCACCGGTTAATGAGGATTACATGTACGGTAAGCAGGGTCTGATGAAGGGCTTGGTGCCGCGCGCCTTTGTCGAAATGCTCGATGAGGAACAGAAGGTCGATTTTTAATTGGAAAGCAGAAAAAACGCAAGCAACCAAAATTAAAAGACAAACAAGAAAATTAACTCATAAATACTCATTTAGAGCAGAGGCAATTGGACAATTACATACTTAGTTCATACATATGCAAGAGAGTACAATAATTTATCAGAATATACACATATACAAACATATTATAGTAGAGAGAGCAATGCGCCGTAGCTTAAAGTCCGTGTCGTTTGATACGTGTGCCTCATGTTAACCATTAAACGCATTCCACAGCGCACCAGCATTTAGATACCTATAGCTAGCTGCCCCATCCCATTCCTGTTCCTTGCTCAGCTTTTTAATCAAATATTTCAATATCTATATACACATATATATATATATATTTATTAATTCAATTTGGCTAACAAAGAATCTCTTAAATATATGCAACTCAATTGTTTTACAAAATTCCTAAAATCTCAATTATAAAGATCAATAATATTTATTACGTATATACTTATATATTTATATAGTGCGAAGAGGAACATGTTAAAAGAAAATTTGCAAACATTTATTATTGTTGCTAAACGTGAACATAATGAAGCCTTTTACTAATATTATTAATATTATTAAGCTTTTCAATCTCACATTGAACAAAGTATTATATGTATTTTATGTTATTTTGATAGTTGTTTATTCGTTAGTTACATTTAAACTGTGCTTTAAACACATTTATATATATATATATGTAAATCTATATCTAAATATCTGTATTTATGGAATTGTTAATACTGCTATATATTCGAAAGTTGATAATTTATCTTAGGTTAAACACACATTTAACTTTTATTCTTTCTTTGTTAAATTTTCGGTGCAATTTCCCGCCCTTTCAAGTCAATTAAATGTTTAAGAAGTACCCAAGACACCAAGCTAAGCCAAGCCACGCCAAGCCGCATTTGGCACTTAATCAAAATGACATAATAAAATAATAAGCGTACAATAAAATAAAAAATAAATTAAAATGCAAATGCAAAAGGAAATGGAAAAACAACGATTTTTAGGTTTTCAATGCGTTTAGAAAATGGGTTTTAAGCAAATACAAAGCACACCATAAACTATGCAAAAAAATGTATTTAACTATAATTAAATGATTATAAATTAAAAAACAAACAAATAAAATAACGAAATTTCAGTTGTTTCACTGGTACATAACCATTTCTATATTTAGTAACATAATCGTAAGCATCGTTTGGCAAAAGAAAATGCGAAATGAATTCACAAATAACAGCACCTCGTATATCTGCAAAAAAGTCGGGAGAAAGTATTAGATTAAAATATATATTATATATATTATGTTCGCTTACTAATCCCAGTAATCTTCCACATCCGATATGTCCATCTCAACGATATCGTAACCATCATCGAAGCCATCGTAGTCTTCATAATCTTCATCATTATCGAAGTCTTCATTATCTTCGTAATCATGATCGCTAAATACATCATATATGTCATCCGATCCAAAGCATACCTCGTCGTCGAAGATCAACATCTCGGCCGAGTCGAAGAAGTGGAGATCTGCTGTTGGTGGCGGCTCGTATGGCACACTTATAATGTCCTTGCCCGCCATTTCTTCTATTTTTAGGCTCAGCTGACTTATGTTGCAGCCGTATAATAAAATCTTGATTGGCAACGGCCGTTCCGTTTCCTTTTGCTGTATTTGCAAGCGTATCTTGAATACAATATCAGATAAGAGCTTTTCCGAGAGCTGCCGGCAATTATCTAGACGCAAAACGCGTAACTTGGGGCAAGACAGTACCAAATGAAGCACGGATTGATCGGTAATATTGTCACAATACTTCAGATTGATCTCCTCCAGCTGTTGCAGTGTGCACAGAGCCTCCATCTCTCGAGCCCCGACTATATTATTTCCTGGTATTGCAAGCGTGCGCAACCCAATTAGCTTGCCGATTTGTGCCATCATCGATCCATTCAAACAATTCATCCCACGTGTCTCAAAATGTTCCAGTTGCTCCGCTTTGTGCTCTACCAGCCAGGACAGCAGCTCGGGACTTAGAAGGGTGTCGCTATCGTGGCTGTACACAATAACTTTCTTGAGACTTGGCAGTTTGGCAATATACTCATAGCTATTGCCCATGAGAAAGCCAGAGCTATTGGTAATTGTCATCGCCTCCAGTGTGTGAAATCGCTGGCTTTCGACCAGCTGCTTAAATGCCGAGCCTATTGCATAAATCCCCTTCAAGTGTAGCTCCTTCAGCTGTGTCAACGTTTTCAAAGCCTTGATCAACAGCTTCGCTTGCACGCTGGTGCACCTAGTTAAAGTAAGCGATTCAATGGTAGGTGGCAAACGATTCATATTCTGACCGGTCAATCGGTTATTGTTCGATAGATCGAGAACCTTTAGCTCTGGTAAATTTTTTAGCGCGAGAAGCGCATCATTTCTTAAATCGCAGCCGCGTAATTGTAGGATCTGCAGCTTATCTAGTTTTGCAAATATCTTTTCCATGATGTTCAGGGGCAACTTATTGGCCGAAATTTTTAGAGTAGTCAAATTTATGCAGTTGCTGCCCAAATATTCCGCCAGACGCTTGATATGGCGCTGCGGTATAACGCCTACCATCTCCTTTACATGGCTACCGGACAACATAAAAAAATCACGCACATCCCACATGGTCAAGTCAGCAAACTCCTCAAATGTGATTGACTTATCCAGTGCTGGCGCTGCTTGAATATAAATCTCTCGGAAACGAAGACAAACGCGAGCAAAGTGAATGCGGTCAGGCCGCGGCAATAGTCGAAATATGTGATCTAAGCAATGATCGTTGAGATTCAATATGGCAGCCAGCGGTTCATCTCCATCAGCTGACCCTGGCTTGTTGCAATCTTTGTCATAAACATCCGGCTGATGCCAGCTGTCGCTGGGCACTACCGAGAGTCGAGCGTTCTTCACATAGTGTACTTTGCGACGCAAGGCCCTGCCAGATCAGAGACTTTAATAATAAATAATAATTAGTATATGGAGATACGCACTTAGCAGCACATTGAGCATCGTCGAAGACAATAACGCCGCATTTTGTTTTTAGCTTCTCAGCGGAGACCTTCGAGCCGGAACCGCTGCTAGTTTGGAGATTAGTGTGCAGATCCAAATGCTTCACTTTTCCGAACGTCATGAAATACTCTTTCAGGTGTTTCACTGATAGCTAAACCAGTCGTATGTGTGCATTGATGTTTCGATAATATTTGTTCTTATTACTTACCGCTGGCGCCACATGAAACATATACAGCTTTTTAACCAGAATGTGGTCCTCGGTGTAGGCCTCATTGTCCAGAAAATAATACGTTTTAGGCAGTACCTGCTGAAAATTGACACTTTTGCGAGGAATGCGCGGACCATTTGTGAAAAAATTGTCCACGTCGTTCATCTTCAACTTTTCAGATTCTAGTTCGACAATTGAAGCACAGCTACGTTTATCGTAGAAATAACTTTTAACTCTTTCACAAATATGCACCCCAACTTTTCCTTGCACTTTTTGTTAAAGGTAATCAGTGTCAATCCGTCTGTTGCATTGAGTTCAGCGATAGTAGCCGGTTACTTGGTATTACACATCTCTACCTAGCTATCGCAACAGCTCTTATCAGTCGCTGGTGCTTCATAGAAACGAATTTTTGTTTTCAATTTTAAGTTTGTGAAAGTCTATATACTTTAATAATTGTGCGTTCTTCTGTGACTGCAGAAGCAGAGCCACATCTATCGTAGAATTTATTTTGCTTTTACACAAATATGCGCCACAAATTTTGCTTTCGTTTTTGTTGCCTGTTGCATGAGGTTAACGGATACTCAGATACTCCGATTACTAACTATCGAAATAAAATCTATCGATAGTGTGGGCGTTTGTGTTTTCCCCGATTGATTTTAGTTTGAAATAAAACAGTAAATTTGTATTTTTCTCATTCGCACTTTAATTTCGTAAGTTAAAACATATTTTTGTAGCAAAGCTTACAAAAATGTTTGCATATTCGATTTTTGCTGTATTCCTTGTAGAAAACCTAATATATTATATTGACAAAATGTACATAATTACGTATTAAATTTACTAGTTTTTTATATACAGTTGTTCTACCGAGTCTTCGATTCTTAAGCCAGAATATCAACAAATAGCATAAAAAATACATTACTGTAGTAAACGCTGCCAGCAGCGTATGCATTAAATATATACATTAATATGATACAAAAAAGCCAAATAAATATGTTTAATAAATAAGTAAATTAAGTGTGTTGTCTAGTTTTCATTGTTAGAGTTTCGCCGATTGTCACGAAAGAATCCAAGAGTGTATAATACCTGGAATGGAGCAAAGCTATGTTAAGTACCAGGCTACTACTTGACATTATAAAATGCTTACGATTTTCGCCGGGCGAGAGCGTTATATGTATGTCCTCTCGATTATGAATCGGCGCTGCAAGAAAAGAGTTGCAATTAATATAAATTTAGGTGACGTGTGAGCGGAGCGACATCAACAACAACAACAACAAATTGTGTAAATATTTAAATAATAACTTCTTTATTTATGCAAGCTGCTTAAAATAATAATAAACTTTGTTTGCTTAGTAATACAGACGCTAACAATAAAACAGGTAATGAGGCATATGCATTTGACATAAATATTAATAAAACATAAACTGAATTGTTTATGGATATTATAAGTTGCGGTTTAATAATGTAACCTGTTATTTGTGGTTTTTATTTATATGTTTCGTATTTAGCTTTGTCGTGTCTTTCTGATGAGCAAAAGTTTCGCTTGTTTTTAAATTATTTTACTTTTTTTAGTGTATTTATAGAGGCTGCATGCGTGCCATGACTTTATTTAATTTGCTTAGCTGGAAACTAATTTAAAATATATATGCTATCACAGTTTCAAAGTTGCCAACATGCAGACAACGTGCGCAACCCATGCATGTTAAGAGAACTTTGCATTGATACAAAGAACAACGTAGCTTGACAATTAGTACACTTATAAATGATATAAGCAGGCAAGCCAGCGAACAATCAAATGATCAAAAACGAGCAATCTGTCACGTGTGCAAAGCGTATGGCTGCTGGCGATTAGCATCGGCCTCTAGCCCAGCGCTGGCTGCATTTGTTGTTGTGGGCGTGGCCGTGGCCGTGGCTGTGGCGTTTTCAGCAGAGTTAGGCACAATGCGTATCATACCCGGCTGGATCCTAACATTTTCACAGGCTTCGCATATATTCAATTGCGGATGATTGCGGAATGTACACAAGTTGCAGGCCCACATATCCAGTGGCTCCTCGCCTTCGTCCACCTCCGATTCGGACAGGGACTCCTCCTCCTCCTCTTGACTGGCGCGTGGCTGGGAAACTGTTCTTGCAGGTGATGCTGGTGGTGCAGCTGCTGTCGCCGCTGCTGCTGCTGCTGCAGCTGCAGCTGCTCGCTGCTGTTGCAGAAATTGTTGAAACTGATAGTATTGCGCATAGGTGGGCGGCGGCTCCATCTCCATTTGCAGCTGCTGCTGTTGCTGCGGTGTCAAACACGCCGAGTTGGGCGCACTGCTGTGCTGCTGCATAAAATCTAGATGAGACTGAGTCTGCGCCGCGGGCACCGAGTGCAGCCGCAACGAATTGGGCGGCACCTGAGCCCGAGCACTACCAGGAGCAACACGCTGTCTAGGAAATTGCTGCTGCTGCTGCTGGTGTGAGCCTGAGGGCGCCGAGAGTTGACGATTCATGGAATTTGGCGCGGCTGCATTGCCATTCAGCTGAGGATCTGTGAAATAAAGCAACTGTTATTTCCAATCACTTCTAATCGATAAAACCGTTATCAATACCATTGAGTAGCCGTTGACAATCCTCAGTCAGTTTCTTGATATCTCTATCCAGTCTTTCAGATTCGCCCACTGGCACCGGTTCGGTCAAAATGTTGATCTCCTGTTCCAGCATAAGCAGACGCTTCTTATTCTCACGCAACGCATTGGCCAGCTTGTCGCGTCGCAGCTTTTGGCGCTCAATGGTCGCTGAATGCGCTGCAAATAAGATGAGGATATATCGATCAGTAAGTTGAGTTAATTACCTAAATATATATTAAGCATATATATAAATTATATTTATCTATATACAATCATATGTATATTTGCACTCATATATATATATATTTATATATATATATATATATACAGTAGGTATATTTATGGCTCTATAGCTCACATTTTATTACTCTGTTTGTTGCTAAAAATAAAGGCGCGCATTTTTGCGCTCGCTAAAAGTTCATAAACAAATTTAAATTTAGTCAAAATGCGCAAACACCCAAGAAATCAATCTAATAATAATTTATTTTTGACTGAAAATAAGCAGCGCAACGCCCGATTTGAAACGATTTTTGAATTTGATTTTAACAAACTAAAAAAAAAAATATGAAAAAAGCAAACAGTTTAAATAAAATTAAATAAAAGCAGACAAATATTTTTAGACATTTTGATAGATTTCTAGCGGAAATAGCAAACAGGGCAATAGGCCAAAGGAGGATCAAGCTGACATAATGAACATATACATATACATATTCAAAGAAAGCAAATGAAAATGCTGTTGTACGTCATTTGGTTGTGCTTTGTGCTGTGTAGACATTTTAATTGATAAATTAATTAGCTAATGGATAAGAAGAATTCCAAGATTTTTCCCACAAGTAAAAGCGTAAAAAGTGTTGTTTTAATTTGATTGACTGTCGCCATTTAAAGGCTTCGCTAAAAGCAAATGCGTTAAGTGCTTCTATATATATACATATATGCATGTTTTCAGAGAACTTCGTGACAATTTAATTTTATTTATTATAATCGATCGAATTCAATATTACATCAAAAGCACTTATGCGTACTCTGCGTATGCTTAATGTGTCAAGTGGAACATCAAATACGATCCAATTAGAATTCGGACTCGAATACGTATTCGGAATCAGACTAAGTTGTTGCCGACGTCTTCTTCGCATTTTCGCCCTGAACTTGAACGAGTCGCAGCAACAACAAATACATTGCAGAAAATAATATGAGAGCGCGATAGAACGAGAGAGAGCGAGAGCGTAATCATTGTAAAAATAAAATGTGGAACGGAGACGGGGGACTAAGTCGAAGACCGGCAGATGCGCAGCTGGTGGCGGCACATTGTTCGAGATAAACGGAATCGAAACCAAACGAAATGGAATGAAACAAAACGAAATAGAATGGCAAATGTACAGACAAGAGACATTTCTACAGAAAATAATGTGTCCGACTCAATCTATATACACAACGAAATCGAAGCGTGGGCGTTACATTTCATATATTATTGTATATATATACACCTAGGTAAATTGTTTATATAGGTAAGCTATCTGCATATTCGAGAAGGTTGGACAATCGAAAAGGAAAATGATAATTGAAAAATGCATGAAAAGATTATTCGGATTATTATTAAGATTTATATTTTATCTTCGTGGCAGTTAAGCTAGCTGATATTATTTATATGTAGAAAATGAATTAAAAAATAATATATAAAATTAGCAGCTTTATATTGTAGAACATTTCAAATGAGTGGAAAATTTCGAAAAAATTTAGCAGCATCAAACCAGTCGAAATTTGGCTAGAATATAACAAACGAATGATAAGCCCAATTATTCTTATATCAAACCAAGAAAGCTAGTTATGTACATATGAGCACTAATCTAACCCGTATGCTTGGCGGAAATTGGAATACCAATCTAGTATATCCCTGCTTTTCGTAACAGATAACTTATGGCAGTTTAGCAAATATTTATATAATTAAATTGGGATTCATGGCGTGGCTTAACTGTCGCATTGCTCTGATTGCATAGATGCTTAAAGGTAGATATATCAAATCATTTTTGATAGCTTCAGACTTGTATTCAACACAGATAAATATCGATTTGTGTGAATAGAAACAGGTGATTAGGCAACTTAAAGGCCTTTATGACAACCAGATATAGTAAATGGTGATCTGATGTATTTCTTGATATATATATGCCCTGAATAAGTTACAAATATTGATCTCTACTTTTTCATGTTCGAGCACATTTTGTCTACAATCGATAGATATCGATCTCTACTATTTCATTTCTGATAATGTAATTATTGAACTAACATCAAGACTGTGTCGTCTTAAGTCGTGTGCTCATATATTTTCGTGTGATTATGTACGGCAAATATTAGTTAAAGAGTTTCACATTTCGTAACATTGTTCGCAACATTCGGGGCGTAATTCAATTTGTTATCAACTGTAAACAGAATTGCCTGATAAGGGCTGCCGCGATTAGACCTATTATACAGAATATTGACAACAACAAGTAAAAAAAAACCCCCTATAAATAACGTATGGAGAAACGGGCACTGAAACCAAAATTGCGCCGCAGATAACGAATGCGATTTTAGACTTGCGAAACATGTGAAATTCTAAAAATAATTTAGTATCTAAATTACTTTGGGTTGTTCGCCGATCATGTTTAATATTGAAGCCATGCTTACACAAAAAATTAATTATGTTAAATGGATAATGTTAAATGAATCTTCATAAGCTAAAAACAAATCCAAAGTTTTACTATTCTGGAAATCGAACAGAAATATTTTACATTATTATATTAATTATTATATTAAGTTTAGAATATATTTAGAATATATAAGTACTTCTACAGCTCCCTTTAAAGATGATTTCCTTGCGTTCTTCACTCTTAGCACCAGCTTCGCATATCAATCATTTTTTTTTTTGATTAATTAGAAATATATCTAACTTTGATTTATATATCATTATCTATAAATGCATATCAGCTACATTCATTTAAGCATTAGTTTTTAGAGGTCAGCTTTGAGTGTCTAAGCAATCGAAAATTATATCAAATTTTAATTGATTGGCTACTGAAAAATGCTGAGTTTGATTAAAAATAGTTCTACACTTGCTCGTCTATCAGAGCTAATCTGTGCGATTAATTGCTTCGTAGATAACACTGTCTGATGTCGTGAGCTCATCTTTCTTTATCTTCGAACTCACCTTCTCGATCCGATTCCGGCACAACACCCTCGTAGAGGGGCATGTGCGTGACGCTGGGGCTGTTGTCGCTGCTATTGTTGCTGTTAAGCAGATGATTGTTGTTGTAGTTGGAGGCGACAACATGATTCTGCGCCTGTGTGGGATATGGAAATATTTCAGGCATCTCGGCAGTTGCGATTGCAGCTGCTGCTACGGCCTGATCCTGTAGCTGGAGTTGCAGTTGCTGTTGCTGTCGTGCTGTTGGCGTTGCTCCATCGGTGACCAGCACTCCTGGCTGGGATGGTGGTGTGGTTGGGGGCGGCGGGCAGGGCGCATAGAGCGGCACCTGGGGACGCACACAGCCTGCGCTGAAGACGCTGCCCTCGTCCGTTACGGTTAACTGGAAATTCTTGTGGGTGCCGCGACGTGCATCAAAGCTGCTGCTCGAGTAGGTGATGCCGCTGCTGCCGTTCCCACTAGCCGCCGGTCCAGCCGTAATGTCGATCGTCGAGGGCGCCGCACCGTTGCTGCTGATCTGCGGCTGGCGCAGCGTGAGATTGAGTGAGGTGAAGCTTTTGCGACCGCTCGGAGTGCTGCCACCGGATGTGGGCGATGGGGGCGTGGGTGCTGGCGAAGGCGAAATTGCATTAACCGCGTTGCTAAGAAATTCGCGCGCATACGGCGGCTCCGGCTGCAGCGTGATGACTGAACGATGTCGCACAGGCGAGCGTAACTGCGCAGTAGCTGGCACCGCTGACTGCGCAGCTGACGTCGTCGCCGCAGCAGCGACCGACGCCGTCGTTGGCGATGATAAGGAAACATTGAGCGACAGCTCCGACTCGCTAGAGCTGAGGGGGCTGGTGAGACAGGAGGAATCATTGGAGCAGCTGCTCGAAGCAACTGCCAACGGCTTCGGCGGCAACGGTGGCAGCGGCGGGGCGCGACGCAGCGGCTTGTACTGCGCGCTAGGCGTCAGCTGTTGTCGCTGCGGCTGCTGTTGTTGCTGCTGTTGCTGCTGCTGCTGCTGTCGCTGTTGTATCTTCTGCTGCAGCTGTGCGTTTAGCTGACGCGGCAAATTCAACGTGGTGGGTCGTGTACGAGCAATGGGCGTGCCTGGCGGCGTTTCAACACCAACCGGTGGTTGGGTGGGTGCAGCCCGCGAAGGCTTCAAAGGCGTCGGTGGCCTGGCTTGGCGCTGCTGTTGCTGCAAATGCTGCTGCTGTTGCACCACCTTAGCGGGATATGACTGTACGGGCGAGGGATGCAGCACCAGCTCCTTCTTCAACATCTGTATACAATTGTCGCGCTGATGGCAATTCTCATTGACGCATTGCGTCACCAAAGCATCGGGCAGCGTGGGAAACTCCTGCTTCATCTCGTGAAACAGATGCATAATACTAATGTTTGTGCACTGGCAGCTTAGCTTGGCTTTGGGCCTACAAGCAGACTCCTCCAGCTGTTCATAGCTGCTGCTGCGGCTAATGTTGTTGTTGTTGCTGTTGCTGTTGCTGAAAATGTTGCTGTTATTCCTTTGCTGCTCTTGTTGTTGCTGATCCTCGTCCGCGTTGAGCAGTGCCTTGAATTGAAAGTGTTGCTGCAGTGCCTCCACTATGGTGGGCGTATTGCTGCTGCTGTTACTGATGTTTGCTTGTTGCTGTTGCTGTTGCTGTTGCTCTTGTTGCTGTTGCGGAGGATTGCCATTTAATTGGAAATTATTTGCTCCGGGCGGTATTGGTGGTGTGGCCGCCATTTTAGGCCATCATTTGTCACTGTAGCAGACCTGCAAATACAATCAAGACATGAGTTAGTTAGCTAATTGCATTAGCAATGGAAAACAATGGGAGAAATGCAAAATTAGTTCATGGCCCGATTTAGCACGGCGACTAAGTCGGCAAGTTCAAATGCAAAAAAAACCTGGCAAAAATTAAGAAAATCCGAAAATCGGGAAAATCGAGAAAAATCACAAAATCAAAGAGCTTCAAACAATTTGCTTAAGCGCCGAAAACAATAAACAAATGACAGAGGAAATTTAAAAATATTTATGACACAATACGCGACATAAAAAATTGCTCAGGTTTTAAAAGAAAAATAATATGGAAAAATCGCCAAGAAAAAACTCGAATAAAAATAATAATATTAAGTGAGCAAACATAGAAGTCATACTAGCTAAATCTCAGTATCGCGTGCTGATAGGACAGTGTCAAGGATGACATAAATATACATATTTATAGATAAAAAAGAGAAAGCGTAAACAGCGAAACAGATGGATATATATATATATATAACTGGCCCAGTGATGTATGGCAAAGAAAGGCAATTTATCATAACCAGTTCAAAGCTGCTGGCGAAAATTATACGTTTTAATCGACTTACATTTTGATTTCGATAAAATAGTTAAATAGTATAATTTATTATTTAAGATATGCAGTTCAACAGCTGCAAATTCGCGGAAAATGCGAGCTCTGTTTTCTGTCTCTTTCCTTATTAATTTGATCGATGACGTTTCTAAATCTTTTAATGGCCTTTGTTGAGCTTCGTCTAAACAAATATATCTATATGTATACATATATATTTTATTACTTTTTTATTTATTTATGTACATATATATTGTTTTAGTTTTAACTTTATATATTTTGACTGCAGCAAAACGATTTGTTATTGTGTTCTTTTCCTTTCACATTTACATTTATTTTCAGTTTTTTCTGGTTTCCTTTATTTGTTTATAATTTGCATATATTTTTTTTGCATATTAAATAAAAATAAACAGTTTCCATTAGTCTATATAGCTCCATATTTTTAATGGGCAGGTGCACTTTTTATTGCATATTAGAAAACTTTAATAAAGATATTTCACAATTTTAAAAAATTTTCTAGCTGTTTCCAGGCGCACTTCTAATAAGTAATTATACGGCAAATAAGTATATTATTATTATTCAGCACAAGTTCGCTTATCAACACCAAATCCTGACCGAAAATTGTTTGTTTTCAGACGCGTTTGAACGCTTCAAATGCCAGCGATTAACTGAAAACAATTTCAAAAATATTCGAAAAGAGTAGAGCCAAAAAAATATCACACACGCAAGCACACATGCATGCCTATGTGAGAGAATATTTATGTATATATTTTTTTTGCATCCAACGAATGCCCGCAGATAACAAAAAAAAAAAACAAAAAGAAATTGTAATTTCCTCTTCAGCGCTCTGAACTGAACCATGTGACGTATGCGTAATGTAACAACTAAAAATATCGCGTGATATATCGGATAGCCACAAAATCAACCTTTAATCAGCTTGTTAAGTCGGGCAATATAATATATAAATATATTTATATATGTATATCTGGCGTTGCCTTTATATTAAGATCAAGTGAAACGAATCAATTAAATCATTCAATATTTTTGACACACGCACACAGTCAAGCAATTTGGCATAGCATTTTTCCCCCTTCGCGTACTCTCTCTCTCTCTCTCTCTCTCTCTCTTTCTCTCTCGTCTTCTCTCTTTCTTTCTTGTTTCTTATAAATTTCTTAAAATAAACTTTTGTGTGGGTGTTGCACAAAAGCATCGATAATTGAATGAAATTTTTTCTGAAATCTAGCTAAGCAACAACAACAACGACAAAAGGAACAAAATAGAAAATAAATGATATGCTGAGGTGAAAGAGTTGTTAAAGAATGAAATTCATTAAAAATAAAAAATAACATGTCTGGCTGAAAGAAAACTATTTAATAGCTACGTTGGCATCTAATAGACCGAAAGAACAAAATTAATCGCTGACATCAACACGAGGATTAAATAGAAATTAAAACTGTGAAAGTATTTATACTGCCCTCGCATTTCTCTTTTCGCTCGGGAATTTCGGCTCACCTGAGCTTTTGGAAACATAGAAACCAACTGACAGCCAGTATAAAAACAAATAATAAACTTTGCGACACACACACACATACATATTTATCATAAAATATACGACTATAGCAATAAAAATCAAACATTTATGCACAAAAAACGTATTAATAATAAAGCATTGGCATTAAATTTGGATATGGCACATTTAACATGGCGCCATTAAAATGGCCAGCCACAGACATAAATAATATTTATATTTCTCTATATCTATCCGAAGACAACAGCCAACAAAATTTGTTTCTACACATATACGAACATATATACACCTATATATATTCCAGAATTTGTTTATTTCAATGTCCGCCCCATAAGCGAAATATGATAAAAAAAAGACATTAAGAAGATGGTGAGAAAATTAAAAATTAAGCAGCAATTAATAAAGAAAGAAAACAAGAGTAAAAGGCAACTAGTACGATTTAGTCGGGCATAATCGACTGCAAAATGCTCGTTCACGATTTACAAAATATCTGCAGTGGAGATCAAGAGTGATCCAACTGAATAGCTTAATGATCTCAGCTCAAAACACTAGATGAAATTCTCTCAAGAGTTATTATAGAGAGGAGGTCTGTAATAAATCACTTGCAAAATGTTGTTCTAGCTGCAAATTAGTCGTGTACCCGACTAAAATATATCCATAGCTTTAAAAATATATAGTACTTATATTAGATACAGTATCGAAAAGTTGTTAACACTCTATCAGAGTCACTAGTAGGAATACTTCAGTAATTGGAAATTACCTAGATTTAAAGTGCGAATTATATCTAAATATTTTCTGTGTGTACTTCGAGCTCCCATGGCTCTCTATCTCTAAGCATATTTGGCTAACTGAAATATGGATATTTATTAATTTACTATAAGCATAAATGACCTTGCCACAATGAAACTAATTTTCGCAATTGGCAAAGCCAAAACAGTTTTGATCGTTGAAAAGTATAAGATGCTTAAAATACTCTTTAAATTTGCTAGTTTTTTGAACTAGAATTTTTTTTAAATTACCTACTTATGAAATTATGAAACTTTAACTTTCCTAAAAGAAGTAAATTCAAATTAAAAAGCCACGAGCTTTACAATAAATAAAATATATTATTTTTGGTATATAGTTTTCACAGCAATACTTCTTGTATACCCTACCTAATAGTGTATAACATCTTCAGCACACATTTTTTTGGGGGCTACTGGGCATATCTTGATTGAGAAGAGTGAAAGGGGGATTGCGGGGTTGTTAATGAAAATTTGTTTAATTTCAATTAATTCTCTTATTCTCGTTTTGTTTGCCAGTTTCGTGTGACTTATAGCGAGGGTGTAGCGTAGACAAACATGTGAACGACGACTGCAGACGTAAACGACCTTCACAATTAGCTAGCAATACTTGCAATAGATATATATATGGACATACATATACACATACAAGTGTATACAGATGTGTATTATACGAGATATGCACGAGTCGTCAACTGGGAAAGGAAATCGACGTCAAAAAGTGCAGCTAGTATATAGAAGAAAACAGAGAGTATTCGTATATATCACAAATAAGTATATGCATATATTCATATACTCTATAGATTCAGTATTGTATGCTCAGGTAACAGCGTGTTTTATTTGTCTTGACACACGCAAAAATCGAAAAGCATTAAACTTGTGTTCAGAGTACAAAACAACAAATAAGTTTGCACAAGTTTACAAAGTAATTAAATTTATGGCAACACATATAAGTTTTATGTGTGGATGCGGCTCGGTACGGTTCGGAACGAATCCTCTTGTAATTGGACGGAACAAAATTTCCATTCATTAAAATGCTTTTGTGCAAAAAATGTTGGCGTCGCTTCGCGTGCCTTTCGAACGGTTTACATCGAAAACAAATAAAAATAAAAACAAACGCGAAAGAGCAAAAAAGAATGAGAAAATGTGTTTTCGGGTTTTCCGCGCAGTCGATCAGCGGATTTTAAAGTTGGTCATCCGATGTTTACAAGCATGTTGCATTCTTTGGGGGTTTTTCTCATCTCAAATCACGAAACAATATAGATTTAAAGGTTAATGTAAGGGGAGATGGTAAACTGACAGTTAATGTTAACATTTGGATTAGTCTTTTGAGTAGATATATGAATTAGAACTTTATGTTCAGGCTAAGGTTAAGTGTAAACTAAATGTTACGGATAATGTCAATAGCGCAGTAAGTAAATAATTCAAATACAAATTTATTGGCAAATTTAATGCAAATTTTTTTTTTAATTTTAATTTAAAGAATTGTAAACGAAATTCTTTATGTAGTGTTAATTAGTTTGTTTATAAACATTAAATGCAACAAATTAATACTCGTGTTAAACGCATTGCTAAATTGAATGTAAATGCTATCACCAAAGTTAGTTTTCCTGCTAAATTGTATGTTGCAATTTATCAGTTTCCATGGAATACCTAGAAATATTATTGATAGCTTATCAAAATAGCATTCGAATAGTTAAAAACCCTTTGAATTGAACTTTAATGTTAAATGTACTGACGTTTCCCCTATCAGCAAAAGTATATCACGTTTATTTTTATCAATTAAGTAATCTACATTACAGTAGATATTGGTTCGCAGCCTACGGTACTGCTTTTGTCTTTGAAGGCCAACAATTTGAAGTATCAATGCATTGACCGGAAATCTCGGTGTCTGACTTGTCAAAAAAAAAAAAAAAAAAAAAAAAACAGAAAAGGAAAAATGATTATAAATAAATAAATAAATACGAAGCAAAAAAATCTTTGCACACAACAAAAATGAGGGGGGAAATGACAATGTATCCCCCTGCTGTATGTGCGAGACATTCAATTCTGAAACAGAAAACATACGGATCGGATCGGCCGAAGGCAATGCGTAGAAAAACTAGAATGAATATTACTAGATAACTCTGCTCTACAACATGAAAACAACTTTCACTTTGAGAGAAAAAATACGTTGAGGAAAATTGAACAAGTATTAACGAAATATTATAAATCAAATGCAAAGACATGAAATGAAATGGAAACAACGCGCAAAAATGGAACGAGAATAATTTTATTTTTTTCTTTCTATATTCTATTTTCTGTTTTCTATTTTCTATTTTGTGATTTCTCTCCTTTTCTTTTTGCCTTTTTTATTCTTTTTCTTTCTTCAATTTTTGTTGTTGTTTTTGTGCGGGTGCTGCTTGCCAATAATTTGAAGAGGCGTTTTGCGGAATTTTCTGCAGACGTCAGGCCTTGACTGACGTCATTAGCGCGAATTTCAAATTGGAAAAAAAGACAGCAGAAACGTGGTTCCACTCGCCTGTCCTGCTTTTGCCTGAGACATTACTTGGGCCCGATAATGCAGACATTAATACGGGTTATTTATTTATTTATGAATACTTTTTTGTTGTCTTGAATTTTTTAATTTTTATTTTATTTTTTTCGGGATTTTTCTATCTGGGTTCTTTGGCTCCTCATAAATGAGCAAATAATCAAAGCGGAGTCAAAGGCAACAGTAGCAACAACAACAACAACGTCAATTTCAGTTATATTTAGACGCTGCTCATTTGGGCGTGAAAAAATAAATAAATGACAATCAGCAGGGGCGGGGAGAAGGGATTTCTGGCAGGTGTGGTTGCCGCTTATCGCCGCGAGCCTGGGAAACGCTCTTAGTACCGTGCTTGGCGACAATTTTATATTATTATACACATGCATGTGTATAATATATAATTACATATACATATATATATATATATATATATATAAAATATTGCGATAGTGATAGGCCAAGTGGAGCTTATGGAACCGCACCAATTACAAACATTGCGCGCACATATCACACTATGAACTAAATATAATACGTACGTACGTATGTATATAGTTTAAAAATGTACGTATGTAGGGAAATATGCAGGGAAATTCCCGCAATAACAGCAACAAAGAGCAAAGCGCGAGAGCAGATACAACAACTACAGCTACAACGACGTATATAAACAAAGACGTCAACTGAGAAAAAAACAACACAAGCAACGCTCTGCTTTCTGCTTAAATGTAAAAAAAATAAAAGCTTACACTACATGAAAAGATGAGGCTCAGTAAAAAAACGCGATGAACACAAAAGCAGCGATATATCGATAGCAACCGAACAGAAGCTGAAACTAAATAAGGATGAGAGCTTTCATACCAATTCGATGAATTTCATAGCGAAGGACAAAATATTCCTTAGAGATGGAACATTGCAGAAATGTAAGTATCAATACAATAGGGAAGTCATACCTTTTTATGAGGATCACAGTTTGAGACCCACTCAGCCAATTCGTGTTTTTTAAATGTCAACAGTCAAGTCTATATAGATAAATTTATAGATTTAATAGATTAACTATGCATCAGTATTTACTGTAATCTAAAGAACAACAAAATCTTATCAACATGCGGGTTCCATATCATACATTTATCACTAATGGAAACAATCTGGTTTTTATTTTTATTATTAAATCGTTTTTCGATAAAACTTTAGTTGACACGTAACAAATTTCCGTTTTGTTAGAGTATATAAATACTCTTCAAAACATAATTTTCCCAGACTATATACTCCCAAAATAATTGTTGCAGCTCAAATGCTTTTACTATAACAAAGTGTCGTGTCACGTTCCCAATTATCGACAGAATACGACTTTGGCACCTGTTAGCGCCGAAATATGGTAAAAAAAAAAACAATGAGGGCCATTGATAAAGCATGTTGAAAACTGTCAGACACACATAGAAAATCAATATTTGCACATTTAGATTAGAAATTATGTGGAAAAATATAACAAATACATGCGTATCTATAGCGTACACATATTTAAATATTTTCATAAGAATTAAGGCCATTATGGCAAATAGGCAATGGGCCAGACCCGGCACGTCGGACCCCGTCGTTTCTAAGCTCCGGACCCTGTCACAGTTTTTGTGTGTTATCATTTGGTAATGGGGCGGGGGCGGAAATATTCATATAAAAATACCTACAAACAATCGCACACATACCAACACGAACACACACATTCGCAATCGCATATAAACGAACATTCATACGCACACACACAGGGAAGCGAGAGTGCGAAAGAGACACGCAGAGAGCGACGACAGCGACGACGCTGCTGTATTAACGGCACAAAAAAAACGACAACAACAACAAGATAAAAACCAGCCAGATCGTCTCTGTGTTTGTATATGTGTGAGTGCGAGTGAGAGAGTGAGCGCATTAAAACAGGTGACATTGGTAGCAGCGCTACGCAATAATAGATAAAAAAATACATAATTCAAATAAAATGTAAAATGCCAGCCAGGTTAAGAAATTACACGAAACATGGCCCAAAATGCAAGACCAGTGTGTACACATCGAAACATGAGCGACCAACTTGTTGAGTGCATAAATATATCGTTATACATATATATTGTTAACTTTGTTAATTCTATTTACTTACCAATAATAATTGTAAGAATATTTGTAAAATACGCGCCCTGTGACTATGTTTACTGTTCAGCACTTTGCGATTGCATCAACTTGTATTTTCACTTTTTCTCTTTCTGGCCCTTGCTTGGCTTTCACTAATGCTTTTGCACTTTGCTGCAAAAAGACACACTTGCACTCGTTTGCTCACTTCGTTTATTTCCGTTTCGTTACGTTTTTGCCAAAGCGATTATTGGAATTTAATAGTTATTATTTTGATTTTCGTTTAATTTCTACGCGATCCGATTGATCCGCGAACTGTGTGGCAAATGAAACAGCTGATTGATTGATAACAGTGTCTGCAACTTAACATTTTGCTGAACTGCTATTAACAGCGACACTTCATGTTACTTACTAGATATGACATTTCTTATTTCAAACAATTGTACATCTAAATAACAAAATGAATACTAATACATGACAGTTAAGCAAGAAGATGAAGGCTGACCTTCAATTTAGCATCTTCTATAAAATTGATCACAGAGCCAATCGAGTCCTAAGAGTAGGCGCAGTAGCGACTTCAAACAATCGATAGATAACTGTACCATTCATATCGATACATTAAAAGACACGAATAACTTTATCGTATAACACAGGGCGCTTAATAACTATAAAATCATCAAGAACAAACACAGCATAGAAGAGATTCAAAATAATTTGAAACACTCGAAAACTTTAAATAAGTGACAGACTTTGGTTTGCTTGCAAAATGCGGTATGCTGTTTGCTTGTCTTTTATTTTAAATTTAAAATAAGTGAAGAGCTTTTACACCAAACCTTGATTAAATTGTATTAATCATAAATATTATTTGAGAAATTGTTAAACAACACAACATACATTCGCACATGTACAATGACCCTAAATCAGTCCAAAAAGATAGTAAAACAAAGGCAAGATGAGAGCAGCCTTCGCAGAGGAAACGCCCGTCAAGCCAACAATCAGTTTGAAGACGCCATAGTAAAAGGCAAGCTGCAGCGCCACATGAAGTCCCAGAAGACTACAAAACACGGCAGAGAATTAAATAATGCGAATGAAATTGCGAATCATATACTAACATCTTATCTTTACGACGCGCTTTTTCCAGATTCTTCGGCGATTCCTTGCTCAGATATTGACGCACGCCTTGAATTGTGTTAGCGAAATATTCATCCCATGTCAGCTCTCCAATATCTATGCCGAACTTCTTTTTGTCCGCACTATCCATCGTCTTGGATAGGGCGAGCAGACGCTTGCTATCAAAATGCCATTCGGTGAATATGAAACGCTCCAAGGTATTCAACGAGTTCCAAACGTTCTTGTGAAGACGCATCAAGCTGTAAGTGAAAGCAATTTGTTATTTTTATCATTGTCAAAATTAACAACTATTCCTCTTTCTTTATACAGGCATTGGGGCAAAAGATATTTCTGATTCTTAAAGGCATAGCGAACTCACATCGGTCTGCCGCCGCCTATTTTGGTGACCAAATCGAGGAAGAAGCCGGGTATAAAGTGGAATAGTATAGCGCCAAGACGAAACAGCATCAAGCTCTTAACCAGACGTAGATTGGGATACCAGACGGCACTGTTCAGTGGATAGTCATGCAAATAGCTATTGATCTTGTCCTTTAGAAACTCGAAGCGGAATGGCTTATATGTGCTGGACGTCAAATGGAATATCTGCAGCTCGGCGGGACGTCCTGCATTCTTGGTTCTGCAATGGACAGAGATTAATTACCTAACTTTTTAATACCTAATAATACCTACTTCAAAGAATTGACATAGTAGCCCGTGGTTATAATGCCATTGACCACCACATCGATGGGGATGTAGTCCATAATGATTGTAGGATCCAAGGGTAGACGACGCAAAATGCCCTTGGAGGCGCCCATAAAGAAGCCCTGTGGTCCGTTCTTTGAAATGGTCCAGCCGGGTATGGGCTCCTTCCACGCAGCCGTGACTGGAATAAATTTTCTATGAAAAAAAGCTTTTCCGAAAATGGAATTGACTTACTCATGCTGGGGCGCACAATGCCGCAAGGGAATTGCGATGCTGCATTGGCCACCTCGTGCTCCGCCAAATGCTTTGTAAACGTGTAAGTGTTGGGATGATCCTTGAGCAATCTGTAAGAGGCATTCAAAATGAATGACGTCCAGCTAGCTGGCTCACATGGTCAACTCACTTGGGTTCCAGTTCCTTGAGCGCTTCATCGTTAAGTGTGTCGGCCAGTTGTATAATCTTTTCTGGATCATCGGGCGAGGGATATAGCTTCTCTTCCACATCAGTAATATAGGCATTCACATATGCGCTTGACACATGCACCAGAGCATCCAAATGACGCAGCTGCTTGCATAGCTCGACGACGCGACGTGTGCCACGCAAATTAATGTTTGTTGTCTCCTTCAGGGATTGGAAGAAGTCCAGCGTGGCAGCCGAGTGGAATACCACGTTTACGTTGTCGATCAGGGTCTCACGATCCTTTGATGAAATACCCAAATGCTCGAGCCCAACATCGCCCTCGATGGGCACAATCTTCGAGAGGCGCGACTCCAGTTGTAGCTCCTTGAAACGATCAAACACCGAGTTCTTCTTCAGCTCCTCCAGGCGCTGTTCCACGCTCTTTCCCTTCTTGGCGCGCATCAGCAGATACAGGGTGCCCACATTGGGCACATCTCGCAGCAGCTTCTCTACGATGGTCACGCCCACAAAGCCCGTGGCACCCGTGATGAAGACATTGCGTCCCGCATAGAAATCTGTGATAGGCGAACTGAATTGGTAACATTCGATTAGTGTTGATTTAGTGGAAATTTTTAATTTATTTATATAACTGCTGCAACTTGGTTTATTAACAGATTCTCTTGCATAACACCAACTTTCCCCACGCTTCAAATGTGAACAACAAAAGCACCAGCAGCAGCAGCAGCACCACCAGCAGCAGCAGCAGCAGCAGCTCCAAGATGGAATCATACAAGTTTGTCGCATTTCTCCGTAACGTAATGCTCCAATGTCCACAGTTCAAAACCAGTTTTTTAGTATATATATACGTATACAATGTACTTATATATGGGAATATAGTGTGCGAGTTCTAGCTGCTATTTGTCGCCTACATGTTTATCTACTTAACTAAATTCAAATTGAGCTGCGGACGTATAAAACACAGCAGATCAATGGTACTTGAAATGGGTGGAAAAATATCAAAGTATTAATTAAGCAAAAATATGCTTGGATATTGCCATTATAAATATGGAAGTATTGACGTATTGAGCAATTTGCTTAGTTACAAATGTAAATATGTGCAATCACGTAGTCGAAGTTGGAAAAACAATGTTCAGCTAAGGTCTTATTATAGAATGCATTAGTTTAGTATTTGTATTACTAAATAGCCTTATGATAACAGTGTTATAATAGTAATTCGTTCGAAATGACTTTAATATAAATATGTAGTACTAACTGCAAGCAAGACGTCTTGAGATAGGCACAGCTAATTGAAGTCGTTTTACTCTAATTGTATAAGGTATTATATCATGTATTAATCTTGTACTAAATAGGCCATAGTTAGCTAGACACTATCGAGCCGTCTTCGTTTTTGAGACACGCAATCGTAATTTAAATTAGCCAGTTTCGAATTGGCCCTAATGATGGCTACGTCTCCGACTTGTCTGTTGCCTCGTCTGGTCATGGCAAATGATTTTATAATGAACAATGCAAATGATGTGTGCGTTATTTGTTTTTGTTTTTGTTTTTTTTTTTTGCTCTCTCTCTCTGTGTTTTGATTGACCAACAAATGGCAATTTAATGTTGGAGCTGCGCAATATTTGGATTCACTCGATCAATTTGCAGACACTTGAGCTCAAAGCTGAAGCCGTTGCAGCTGCAGCTGCAGTTGCACTTGCAAATGCCACAAGCTGCTCAGTCATGGCAAAACAGTTTTGATGCCAACTTCAGATTTGGCTCTGAAACTCTTGACTTTAGCTGTCAACTGAATAAAGCTTTCACTTTGCCTTCTAGCCCATTAGCAGGTGAGCCGAACCCAATTTTTGTTAGCCACAGCTTCTAACGTGGCAACGATTTAACATATATTAAAAATGTTGCGGCTTTTGGCAAATTTGCAAATTCGCAAATTTCATTTTTGCAATCCCTTAGCCAATTTCCGACTGGGGTTTGGTTTTGCTTAACTTTTTATATCTTTTATTTATACATTTTGTGTTGAGGCAACAGTAAATTGTCTCTTTATCTTGACTTAAGCCATGCAGTGATTAGATTTTAGCTGAGGTTTCCAAGACTTGGCCAAGTGGAACAGCACTTATCTTGGGCAATTAACGGGGGATTTATGGCCAGAAATGAAATTCTTGATTTATGCAAACAGGTCAATTCTGATTCGTTCTATATGTACTATAGAAGTGTAGGTAGCAGCTATCACATATGTGTAGGCTAGACTCTCTGGCCGTATCTATAAATAACTTTAATCAACTAATTTTCTTAATTCTAGGTTCTAGGATCCGTCATTAACTGTGAACTGTCTGGACGTATGAGACCTTATAGCCAAGCATCCGAGTTTTAATTGCTATGTGCGGACATAATTGCTAGTAATGGAGCTTGTTGCGACAGCAGCAGCACAGGCAGCTCGAAGGGATTGTTTTTGTGTTGTATTTCTCTCAGCCACGTCGTGTTTGCTTTTCCTGTATCAATGCCTAGCCAGCCAGAGAGATGTTGGAGCAATCTGTTCACTCAGCCCCAACAATTATCGTCATTCATAATGCAGCAGGTAGATCTGCTGCTTACATAAAATAAATCTTAGGTGTTGCCCAGGTCAAAGTTTAAAAGGCGTGTTGAATTTGAGTGCCTCGAACAATGTTAAGTTTCAATTTGTTAAACGAATTCACACTTGGAACTATGCATATTGACAATTCGTCATGAATAGAAGTTGCTCTCTTAAATGTCTTCCAATATGGGTTTGGCAGTTAAGTGCTTAAAAAGCGAAAAGAGACTTGACTAGGAGCAGATCTGCACAGCATTTTTAGCTAATTCCTATATGTACATATATGCAACTTAAACAACATTGATTCATATTCAAATTCCTTGCCTTGTAAAAGAAACCATAAAAAGCAAATATAAAACAATTTAACTGGTTTACCAAAAAGCAGAACTATAAAACGTGATTTCTGGAATTCTTCGGTTCAGCATTTTGATTTGTTTCGCAGATTTTATAAAATAGTTTTTCTTTACTTATTATCCATATCGAAATTTTAATAAAAAGGGTTATAAAAAAGGTTCACACTTATCTAATTTTATGTACACAAGTATAACGAGTTGTAAGT